ACTCTGGCTCCAAGTGTTCTAGCCAGTCTACGATGACAAAGCTCGTGGTCACCTTTTCTGACTCAAAGGTGTTCTCACACAGAATCTTTGAGAGCGCATGAATCAGCTGCTGACTGTCACCCATCTTGATAGCTCTTTGGACAAGCACGCAGAGTGCCTCCTCGAAACGCTTGGACTCATTCCGTGCGACTGATGTCAGAGCTTCCACAATGTTGGCAGATTTTGCGTCACCAGATGCTAGCCTCCTTGGTGCCTGATCCTTGTTCCTCGAAGACAAATGCGAAGTACAATATTGAGTCAGGATGGCAGAAAGAGGCGACTGCGTTTTGCTCATTTCCAAGATTTTGGAGCAAACCCAGTGGAATTTGAATGTGAGCGGTGAGTTGGATGCTTCTCTTTGTTGCGCTGCAATCGCTAATCTAAAGAGGGAACACGATATGAATGATTTCTGGTACAAGGCATTCACAAATGGCTCCCTCTGGTCACTTTCAAGAATATGCTCGCACGTGTGGATAAATTCTGCCAAAGCACCTCCAAAGAGGCATTTTCGAAGAACGTCGTGTGAAAATGCTTTTTGCAATCCTCTGAAGAGTTCTTGCTCTTGCTTGCCTCCGAGTTTTCCTTTCATTGGATCCAGACCAAACAATTGAACCACAGCCACTGGAACAGAGTCCAAGCGAGAAGCTTCTGTCGGCCGCGGTGGGGCGTGCTGGATGACTGACGTAGGTACCGGCTCAATGTCGTCCATGTCGGCGGATGCATCGGTGACATCACTCTCGCCGAGAAGACGATAAAAGCATTCACCACCAATCGCTCCCCTCTGGTGCTGCACTTCGACAAGCTGCGACATGTATGCCTTGTCCACAACCGCTTGAACAACAGCTGCTTCGTCGTACTCCACGGCTCTATCCAAGCAGCAAAGAAGCTTGCTCATGCTTGGAACTGGAATTCCAAAGGACTGAATGAAAAGCACGAGCTGGTTTGGCTCCAAGTCCTTCAAGGCAGCATCAACAAGAACATCCACAGACGATCTGATCATACGAAGCTTCAGCCAATCTGGCAGGAGGAGGGCTTCTTCGGACGTATCTACTAAGAATGCCTGAGGTGGGTCTCCCCCTTCGGGAAACCATGTTTCCAACAGAGCATTGAATGTCTCCGGGTCACTCTCTGGAGGACCATAGGTAAGCAAGATGATCATCGAGTGAACGACCAGTATATACATAGTTGCTGTCTCTCCTGAATCCCACTGCAATGTGATGTGGTCCTGACATTCATACCAGTAAACATCTTTGGAAGGTTTTCGTGCGTTTTGCAGGTATCGTGTGAATATATCAAGCAGTGAGCAGTGGAACAGTTCTTTGTAGTACAAACTAACTGAGTCCTGCAAAAGGATACAGTTTACAATTGTTGGCCGGTCAATAATTAGCTGGGTTATATCAAGAGACAGCTCGGAGAGACTATCATCAGGCGTATACGTTGCAAGGAATTTGACATATGCCGTAATTGCAAAGGGGTCGTTCTCGACTTGACATGCGTGCCTCAGAGTTGCACTGATATCGTGACGCACGACACTGAAGTGAGGCAAAGAAGGTATTTCCTTCAGCAGCCAGTCGTGATTGTTGGGTTCAGAATCCTGAGTGTTCTGACAAAGAACAAGCATGAGACCTTTAGTGGCAAGAGTGCGGGCATTTTGATTCTGTGTGCTGAGACGTCTCATGAAATAATCAAGTACTTCGCATGTGGCATTGACGTCACCTTCTGGGTTTCTCAGCAGCTTCTGTAAGTGCTGCAACAACTGCTGCTGCTTTCGCTTCTTACTCTGCGGAGTTTTCATTTTGCCCTTTTCCGGTTTTTCCTCCTCTGCATCAACTGCACCTATGCTGCCTTCAAGTTCCTCGTCAAGGAGAAACTCGCAAAGACATTGCACGGGCAGGAGGTCAAGTGATCCCTCACTCGATTCCACGAGCTCTGCAAGCCACGGCATGTGCGAGGTCCCTTGTCTCTGAATGATTCCCAGAAGAAAATCCGGCTTCCTACTTCTGCACAGAAGGTGCCCCAGCTTCAATGTTTCATTTAGGGCTTTCAGCTGGTCTAACACTTGTGACGAAGGCCTTCTGGTTACTCCTTGAGGGTCCATTGTTATCAATTTGGACAGAAGAAGACTGTTACTTTCAGTGATGGTGACTTTCGTCGAAGCAGCTGCCAAGTGCGTTTCAAACTCCAGTATCTTTTGCTTCTCCACCTGAGCAATCTGCATTTCTCGCGCTTTGATTTCGTCAGCCTTTTCACCTACTGCCAGAGTCGGCGGAGGAAAGACAAAGTGGTTCGTGATGCACATTTCCACCAAACTCTGCAACGTCGGATGGCTCGAAAAAGCCATTTCTCCGAATGTGGAAGGGTTGTGGGCTACCACGATGAGAAGCATGATCCATGCCTTCCAGTAATAGTCCGCAATTGCAAGGTTTGGTGGCGTGTAGCCCGCTGGAAGCGTTATGTTTTCGGGGTGGTGATAGGCGCACAGGTGGAAGATTATCTCAATGAGTTCCGTTCGCTCTACAACGAGCACAGGATGCGAATCTTCTTTGTAGATTGCTGCCGCTCTCCTAATTAGTTGGTCGACTAGCTCCAATGCATCGGATGGGTTTAGTGGGTGTTCCTTAGACATCCCTATTATTAATATTCTAATTAGCGTGTCCTCAAGCGCGGGGACATCTGAAGACAGCCGCAACATCAAATGTCTGTCAGTTTCTGGAGGCCAGTTGTCCTTGCAGTAATGCTCAAGTTGCTCAAGGAAAAATGCCTTGTGTAAGCAATGTAAGAACTCATTTCTACCAGGCTTGAACATCTTGGGAACTACCGTGTGCAACCACCAAACTGTGTCTCGTTGGATGGTGGCCACCTGCATTTGGTAATTACGAAGAGGAGAGATATCTTTCTTTTCCCCTCTGAAAAGTGCTGTCGCCGCTTCACGCACAGCTGGTGTGATTGCCAAGAAGATAGCCTTGACAATGAGGTCTGTTATCGACACAAAAAGACGTTCTCTGAGAGGCTGCTCCAGCTCTTGGAATTGCGTTTCCTTTCGCTCTTGCATGAGGCCGAGACAAAAAGCCGAGAAATTGAGATCGTGCCGCAGCGAGCGTATAATCTCCCTGAACAGTGCACGCAGGCATCGCAAGTAGTCGTCTCTGTTGATCAGTAGGTCTTGGAAAACTTCAGCCAAGACTCGGGCCGCTTTTTCTGGCGAGTGCTGGAATATCACTGAGAGAAGCTGCATGTTATTCGGGTTTCTCGAGTTGGACAGCTCGTTGTAGATGCAGTGTTTCAAAACAGTACTCAGATTATCAACATGCTGACCCAAGAGTTCTTTCACGCACTGCATGAAGTGGTTTACAACAGGCTTCGTCTTCAGTCGAATTCGAATCAGGCACCCAATCACTTCGACGTCATGCTTGTTGTGTTGGTTGCAGTTCATGCACACTGTCAGCAACAGGTCCTGCGCTGGGCGAGTCAGTTTGGGGTTTTGAAGCCAAGTCTCAAGGCGATGGGCAACCAGCGAACGCACCTCACTTATCCCGCAAGCAGAAACTAGCAACCGGAGCAAGTTTTTCGAGATGTCCATTGGTTGGCGGCGGTTGAGCTGTTCGTGGATTACCTCCAGTATGTAATGCTCGATGTTCGTTTTGGAGCCCGCAAAGCGAGGCACGACGGCAACGTTCTCGGGGCTCTCCTTGAGATCGAGGTGCAGGCTCGACAGAGAGTCGTCATCGTCGACTGCCTGGGCAGGCGGACTGGGGCACGCATCCGGCTTGAAAAGCAGGTCTGGCGCGAGCATGCTCTTTGGCGGCAGCCTCGTGTTGAAAGCCGTGAGCACGTTCTCGACGTAGTTTTTACACTCGTCGTGATCGACCCAAACCCGATCCCCCAACGAGTCCTCCACAAACACTCTCACAAACTGCTCCGGCCAACTCACGTTATCCTGAAACGCGGCCAGGAGGAGGTTACAAGCTAGCACGGAGATAAGGTTGTTGCCTTTAGTCTTAAAATTTACGGTGACATCGCGCTTCAGCAGGCTCGTGAAAGCTTCGACGGAGCCCTCGGAGTCGAATATACGCGGCCGTGTTTTCGCCAGGAACATGAGCGTCAGGTAAAGCATGGGATCCGGCTTTGGGCGCATGTTTTTGAGCGTCTTAGCGGCGCCGCACATGAGCGATTCGACCTTATCGTCGTCACCGACGTCCTCCGCTTTCAGAACACGGCTCAGGAAATCTGTCGGATCTACCTCAACGGCGATGACGTCCCACTGTTCACTTTTGTTCGACGGTGTTTCACGCTTTATCTGCGAACCACTGGGACCCAAACGGGCGAGAGACGAAGGAGCTGCTGCGACAAGCTTCGGTTTCTTCGAAGGCACCAAAGACGAAGAGGCGCCGACGGCTTCCGGTCGCTTCCGCTCCGTACTGGAACTAGATGTGCTCAACGTTGACTGCTTTGCCGGTGGCTTCGGTTCCGGTACATCGGGAGTTGATCGCTGTTTCGAACCGAGGGCAATGAAATCGCCCGACGGGAAGAGTGACGCTTTGACTTTGTTAGGGCCCCTCTTCTGAGAACCCTTTCCTTTCTCGCGTTCCATGTTTAACTGAAGTCTTCCGAGTTTTACGCTTCACGTGGTTACATCACAGGATCTCTCTTGCTCACAGAAAACGCGACAACGCAACAATCTAACGACACACGCGATTTCCAAGTTCACGGCTCCAACACCGGCGTCATTCCACGCCATAGCTTACTTCACTATAGCTAGAGCCGACAGTCTAGAGCAGCAGTTTCGCATTTAGAGAAGATAACATTCTATTATCTAAGCACGCAATAATTGTACAGAAATTACGCCTAAATAAACTGAATAACAAATACGTTTTCTTAACCTACTTTTAGTTTCAGTAACCTGAACGATTGAGATGATTGCGCACCTAGCTTGTCGCGGCCATCTTCAGCCGTTGCCTCGCAATCGAATGTCGGCCCAAGTAATGTGCTATCATGTTTTCGCGCAGCGTAAACAATGAGTGTCTACGCTTCCTGCTGGTCGTGTGTGTGTTTCTGCCCTGTGTCGTAGCCGAAACTCCTGGGTGCACTCTGGTAAACAAGGACTCGAAATCGGAGAAAGCGCTTTTGGAAGGGCTGCACGACTTGAAGGGCGAAACGTGAGTCGCTTCTTCGCCCGATTGCGAATTCTCAGCTTAATAATGCACGGTCTTGCGCGAATTTCATGACGGAAGGTTAAAAGTACGCACCAATGCGTGTTTCTCCGGGTGGCTTTTCGTAGAGGTCGCGGAAATCACGGTACGTTCGGGAGTGTGTCGTGGAGATGAAATATAACTGACATTTTTACGCGCGTGCACAGTCATTCCGCTTGGCAATCGTACGAAACCTAAAAGCGCTTGCAGATGTGGGCACCCCTGTTGATCTCCTTTTCCTTCATCTGTATCGTTTCAGATTCACTGTCGAGGACAGGGTAGACGGTAAACTGAAGAACGTCTACGAAATCGGCATATGTGCCAGCGTGAACAAGTCTGCTCCACAAGTAGGGGCCATTCAGCATGTCATTGGCGAAAAAGTCAACCAAACAGTCGTGCTAGGCCAGCTGAATTCTACCACGCTACTCGGAGCTCGTAAGTGTGTCGATTTTGGTCAAGACTTCAGAGTGATCGAGCTTTCTTCTTCTTTTTTTTATTCCTCTACTTTCGCGACTCTTCTCATTGTGCACAATTAGGCGAACGTGGCAGTTCTCGAAGACGCGTATTGATCGATGTTTTTTTGTCACTTTCAGCCGGGTGGACTCTAGTCACTTACAGAAACGGAGATCGCTATAACGGATCGTGTAACAACTCCTCGCGAGAAGTCCAGTTTGCTGTCATCTGTAGTCCAAACGAGCATCACGTGAGTTATTCTAGATAAAAGATAGTTTGTGTTACTGTGACGAGTGAATTTCTGTGAAACCACGAAGCACGAAATTAGTTACGCTCAGACTGTACCAGAAATTCTTGGGAAATACATATACACACATTCACATGTGACCCTCCAAGGCAAAGACATTCTGTTATCATATTACACTTGCTTGACTTTGGAACTCTCGGAATTTGTAATGAATATGTCTAGTAATAGTGTGAACACGCATTGATTGAGTACAGTTACTGTTTACTCACTTCGTGTTCATGAAGCCTCGTTTATTATGAATGATCAGTAAGCTTCCTGGTGAAGTTTGTAACAACCACAGCACATTTCAGGTTGCTTGGATGCACACTTGGGACATTTGGAGTTATCAAATAATGTAAACAAGGGTCCTACAGTTAACAACTGTTAGCTACCTTTAGTTCCTTGGTAAAAATATTGAGGAAATGCGAAACAACACAAACAATTATGTAACAGCTGGTTGTTACACATAAGCATTGCCAGTTATCCTAGATTTCGCCAAAAAACTCCAGCAGCCCAATTAGGCTATATTGGGACATCAATTTACCCAATTTAGACTAGTCAAGCTTAGAATTAGAAGCCCCTCTGAGTGTTGCAGAAGTTTGATGCTTGACGCTAGTGCCACCCTCTCTGACTTCACATATTTATACCATTGTCAGCAGCACTCCAGCAAAGAGAGTACTTGGTGTCGTTAAATGTGTAAAAAAAAGAGCCATGTGTTCAAAGCTGACTTGCACTGCCACTATGCATTACAATTATATCCCGATTTAGGCACACACAATCACAGAATCAAAATTTTTTTTGTTAAGTATCATTGCACGTGTTTCTTTAAAACAATTTATTATTATTAATAATATTATTAGCTGCCTTCATACTCTGTATGGCAGAAGTCATTACACTTGTGAGCATAAGTCTACAACTTTAGGCATACTTGCCATCGTGATATAGCGGTTATTGTATGACTGCTGAACCAGAGGTTGCTGGTTCGAATCCCGGCTGTGGTGGTCACATTTCGATGGAGGCTGTGGGGTCCACATAGATCGCTGTTCTCTTGAAACACGTGGACGTATGCGCCATCGTGCACCAAACACGCAGACAATTATTTACTGCTTTTAATAACAGCAAGCTCGTCAGCTAAATCTTATATGTAGTAACACAAATAATCCAATATAATGCCAATATAACACACAAGCACTATAACACATACAATATACCACGAATGCAACATTGTCGATGTTCAACTTGCCGCACGAGTTCACGAGACCAAGCAGCGGAATCGCCCCCCCCTCCCCAATGACCCCACATGTGATATCTCCATCCGCAAACATTACCAAATATCAAACGTGAAGAAGTGTTCTTTCTTGTACACCCGCGTAAACTTGCTCCTGTCAGGCGGCACCGCTGGCATAGCCATGTGAGCACTGCGCCATCTTGCTAGGTAGGTGGTGAAGATAACAATGATGTGTGGGTGCCATGGGGAGAAAGCGACTTCACAAGGAGTTATGAAAATCCCTATGAAGCAATATGCTAGAGGCCCACGTGCTTAAATTTTGGTGCACATTACAGAACCTCATGTGGTTGCAATTTCCTGAGCCCTCCACTACTGCGTCAGGTCATAATCATATTGTGGCTTTGGGATGTAAAACTCTTAACAATTATTACTAGCACGACTTTTGGCATGGGTCATGGATCCTCACAACGAATGGTGACTGTGGTTCATTTCAGGGCACCCTTCAGATTGCGTCCAGTGGCCGTGCAGGAGAGACAGCATGCACTTTCCTTTTTGTGATCAGCAGCAGTGTCGTCTGTTCAAAGGAGAAACACGAGCAGCACCATCGTGGCCTCAGTGGGGGAGCTGTATTTTGCATACTGTGAGTACATGCGTAATACATGAACTAACGAGCTGCTTGTTAACAAGGAGTCATGTGACTGACTGTGGGCAAATAAAAAGAGGGTTCAGTAATCTACGGGGCACCTCCTTTGAAAAGGCTCTGTCTGCCCTTTTCATGGCGTGGGGAGACACAAATGATGTCACAGTAGAGGTCAGGGGGTTTGCAAGCAGAACTGCGCACTGAGTGGGCTACGCAGTTCAGCTGGTATTTTGGGGCTGCCAAGCTTTGCAGCCTGCACCCCCGCCAACTCCGGGGTGGGGGGTAGCTTTTATTTTGTTGCTGTCTTGTTGCAATGTGTTCTGCATTCCTTTTCATCAACAAATGGCCATAAATGTTTATTGCAGAAAAAAATTATAAGAATGCTTTTAGAGTTGGTGCAGAAAATAAAAGTGCCTAAACGTTGCATATCAATAATCAAACTCGCAACCTTAATGTGATGCAAAGGTTATGGGTTTAGCTGGCACAGGTAGCAAGTTTTTTATTCTTCCATCTTTTTTTTGTTTATTTCATAATTACTGCATCGCCTTTTTGAAGTTAAGTAATAATTATAATGCATATGGTTTTCCTGGCGTCAATATTTGTGGCTGAGTAACAAGCGCTTCTCTGTTACAGATTTTTCACAGTGGCCGGCAGCTATCTGCTCTTGGGTTTCCTGTACAAGCGCATTGTTGTTGGAGCAAAAGGCCTAGAGCAGATACCCAACTATAGTTTCTGGAAGGATTGTGGCAACCTGCAAGCTGTGAGTGAACTTGTCCCCGTGTGGGTTTTCGCCACATCACTATTAAAACCCTGTTACGTAAAGCCCATATGAATTCAGTTATCCCTTATTTTGGAAATTGTCAAAGCATCACAAAGCTTCAGCGACAGAAAATGCACAGCAAGGAGGTATGCAACTACATGGAGTGAAAGTTCCATTATTTCTTGAAAAGTTTCATCCATCAGTCTTCAATCGTACACTGACGTCATTTTTGAGAGGGGTATTATTGTGTGAACTAGTTGAAGTTTTGAAAGGTTCTGAAATAGGCAAAACTTAAACAGCAGAGTCTTTGAGATTCTCACTATGATGCATAAATAACTTATTATTTAGCAATAGCTCTAGACCGTGTTAACGAAGTGAGCACATATTCAAAAGATGTGCGCGCTGAGATTTTTCTAAAAAGTATAAAAAAGGGCATGTTTTCTGTGACCATCATATTTGTTATCACGTCTGCAGAATTTTCGCAAAGGCTGACAAGCGCAGTGTGCTTTCAATTTAAGCGCACATCTATTTGCCTCATCAAAAGTTGCCTACCTCTTTCTTTGGCATGCGAGTGCTTCCTGCAGAGAACCACTGGTGCAGTAGGGTTATTTGTTGACTGATTTTCTATAAAGCTCGTATACCACGTCAAACCACTGAGCGCTTATTTAGTCTGGAGAGGCCCTGCTCAAATGACCAAAGCCTAACAGCTGATTGACTCTTCAAACAAAAAAATAGTCCTGCCCGTAGACTCAACAACATTCCTCACAGGCAAGGTCCCCGGCCATCCCGCTCACGACATCAGTCTGGAGTGCATGCCCATTGGTGATGGGTTGTGTCCCATCACCAATGACTTTTGAAGTTGTATTCACAGACTTCTGAAGTCCACAGACTTCTGAAATCCACAGACTTCTGAAGTTGTATGCAATTACAGCTATTCTTTGATGCCATCACTAGTAGGCTAAAAAGTAAAAATGTATCCTCGCACACATTTTTTCAGGACGGGTGCAACTACATCTGCCGCTGCCAATGCGACTCTGCCGACGAGCACCGTTCCTACCGGGACATCGATGACAGGCCGCTTCGCCCGGACGAAGACAGGGACGACCAGCTGCTGACCATGTAGGCCACCGAGCTTTGTTGTTGACAAGTGTTGTGCCGTAGCGTGTTGCAGAGTTGAGCGCCACCGTCTCTTGGCCCATTCCCTTGAAACCATTCTGGCTTAATTGTACGAATGGCCGTGCTACATGCACTCGAGCGTCACTGTGGCTGCGAGCGGAAATGCGGGGCAACGTAGTATTTGTAGTGTTAATCTCTGTCTGGTTGTAGAATCTGGATGCGTACACTCCATGACTATCTTTTTTAAATAGCCTTAAAATCTGGCTGTGAAACATTCCCGAGTGTCTATACTAACGTTATGCAGTACGTGAGTTTATTCGTGTCGTGGAGCACGAATGATTAGTTCTCTGTAGATCATCTGTGTGGGAGAATTGTGCACATTCGCAAACACAAACAGAGACAAGTACAGGTTGACGATGAGATTGTCGTAACGTAGGTATAATCTATTTGCACGAATACAATGCAAGTCACTTTTTTATCTTTTTCCTTTCTGCACTTTCTAGTTTATGTCTGTATCTTGCGCAGCATTTGAAACCATCTTATGAATGCAATAGAAGATGCCTTTTTTTTTTACCATCTTGTCCGCTTCGTTGCGCTAAATACACTGGTTCTAGTCAGTTCACTGAAGTCAGTGCATAGGAGCTAGGAGCGCTGGTGACAGTGTGGTGAGAGTGCATTGTTTCTGCAACAAAATGGTGAACGTATCCACAGCAGGGGATCTCTCTTCTCACATTCACCACAAGCATTGGCGCTATACTATATAAAAAGAATCGTTTCCACATGAGATGTTTTGTAAGAACGCTACTTCCCAATGCCAGTCGTAAGAGTTGTAGCAAGGACATAACATTGTTTTGTCATGCCATCTACTGAACTCAAGAGCAACCAAACAGTGACAACGAATAGAAGAGGCAGTCATTGTTAAGGCTTCTTTTTTTCTTCAGTGCTTTTTGTATTTTTCTGAGACACTAGCAGTGCCTTCCATATGCAGTGTCAAGGGTTTGTGATAATGTGCGTGCACCTTTTTTTTTCTTCTCTCTCTTTTAGGCATTAGCTCTGTTGGGTTCGTGTGCAGCATGCGTCACCACGGAATAGATAGAACGTTGGATAGGGAGAGAAAATGCTTTGAATGCACGCGCATCACATATCACCGTTGTCGTTATGGAGCTGCTATTCCGTCATTAAGATTTTATGCGCTTCTTAAAGCAGAGATTTTGTTGAAACCTGGTGTATAAAGCCTCACGTATTACTGATGCATACTTTTCCACCACCATAACGAGGAGGAAGCACGATGGAAATGCTTCGGCACAGTTTGTGAAATAGACAAAACACAGCAGTCTAGTAATGCTAGACTGCATACCTCACACTGTGAATAATTCGGCTTGGGAGGCATTCAAATCATTTTCATACTTACCTCCACGTATATGAGCGAATTTCGTGACAGCTAGAAAAGTGGTGGATGTGATAGTCTTCTTGGAGTGCGAAGGAAATGTGTGGGCGAGGGGATCCTTATCAGTCTGTGTCTGATGTGTGGAGCTCCGTTCCGACGTGGTGGCTGCAGTGGTGAAGACTACATCGTTGACAGCGCAGGGAAGAACCACCCAAACTACATTGTCTCTCTCCTAATAGAAGCTGGCAACAGTTATAGATTGAAGCAGAAAGTTGCTGTCTTACTAAGGCTTTGTTGACCCCAAAATAGTACCGTTTCTCAGCTTTCCGATGTTTCGTGCCTAATCTATAGTGGCTCTGAAGGTGTCCCATAACACTCTGGCAACCATTATGGGTGCTTGTAAAGTGATCTTGGCAACCCATGAATTGCCCATGCTGCCCGGAGACATCAAACACGAAGGACTGTCTGCCAAGTGTGTTTGCGGAAGCAGTTCGCAACAAACATATTGTTCAGCTACTGTTTTGCAAACTTGCATGTATTGTACGACAAGGCTTCAAAAACTTTTTTTCCTTAGTTCTCAGAGAAGCAGACCTTGCGGTATAGCCGTGCGCTTTTGATACAAATGGCTGGAGACGTATAAAAAACGTGCCATCGCTGCACTAGGCATGTTCCTGCACCACTGTATTTGACTAAAGCCCATGAAACCAGTGCGGAAACTGTGCATTCCACTTGGTAAATATTTTTCAGGATGAATACTTTTGCACCTGGTGAATACTTTCACACGACACGTCGTCTTGTGTAACACTTCATAGGAGAGACTGATGTTCTGGTTATGGCATTCACCAACCGGCGTACACCGTGTGTGACATTCCTCAAAGCGATATAAAAGCAATGCCTGCTCTCTAAGAGCCATGCTTGTGAGAAAATGGCAGGCTTAGCAAAATTCGTTGTGAAGATCTTATCTTATAAGAGTAATGGCATTTTTTCCTGTTAAACGTCCCTAGTGAGTTCAACTGGGCAGAGGGTAGGCTGTATCAAGTTTTGTTAGGAGTTATTTTAAAGTTATGGTTACATACTGTGTGTGCACTCAGTCAGAGCATGTCTATTTTGTTTCGTTTGGGATTTGTGGCTGTCTGATCGATGAGTGACCGACTGGAGAAACGAAAGAATAGCGTGTGTGCTTTGTGCTTCTTTCGTGATGTGAGAGTTCAACCCCCAGAGAAAAACTGATGGCTGCAGGCATAACAGCTCAGTCAAATCCAAGCTGCAGAAGTTATTAGTGCAGTGGTAAAAAAACAAACAAATGTTGGACACTTTCCCTCGTACTGCAATGAGGATTTCATGATTCTGGTAAAGATTGGGCAAGACTTAAAAGGACACTGACATTGGAAACTAACGGCAAATGTTGCACTTTCCAAATGTGCAATTCCCTCCCCCCCAAAAAAAACCTAAATAAACCATAATTCCACTGGCGGATATCGTAGCTACTCATCTACCCCAGTGTGAACATAAAAAAAAAAAAAACAAAACATCAGTCTTCAACAGCAGTACTGTGGTTGTTGGCTTTTAGAGCTGGCACGAAAGGCCTCCATGATGAAGCAGAAACAATAATGAAGATGTGAACCACGCACTGCTGTGATAATAGCTGCCAAACAACCCTGAATGATGTTTTTATGGCATGTAAACTAGAAACCTGGTCTTGGGACTTTCTGCAAGCTTCACGTGGCAGATACGAGAGCAAGATATCAGCACCTTCTGACTTTTAAGACAATCTGTCAGTGTTCTTCAAGATGGCAGTACATATTTGCTTATCTCTAGCGATTTCCAGCATACTGTTCTCTGAAATAATATGCAACGTACCACAATCTCGGGTGTCATAGTTTTGGTGCACGGCTAGTGATTATCGTTTCCAATTAGAGAATCAAGTGATCTTGTACAAGATGAAAGCCATCGCAAAATGCAGATGTGTCGTATACACCTGATGTTTTTGGCACTGGTATTGTAGCTACATGCACACAAACACAGAAGCTGTCATATTTCACATACTGTAGTGGTAGCGACATACAGCAAACCGAGTACTGGAAAATGACTTGCAATGTTTTGACGATGTCATACATGTAGGCCAATAATGAGCGAGAGAGGGAACGACAGTATAAATAGTTTTAGTTTACTTTCCTTTTCTTGCACCGTGGCTACACTTGGGTGCACATCCTGTTTTTGTTTCTTTGAAAGTCGTATGTTGGGCATTTATGTTTCACCTTGTACCCACATATGAAGCATTCACAAAACACATCACACGAAATGCTACACGAACGAAGTAAGGGATTTTCTCTGGAGATCCTAACAAATGAAACACAGCAGTCCTAGCTAATGGCATTGACGAAGTCCGGCCAAGGTCAAAGCCGCATGCCTCAATATCGTGCAGTTTATCGCATGTACAAACTGTCCTCATAATTTTATCAGACATTTGCTCCCCAGAGAATCTCTGGTTTTATGCCATCGAGGCTCGGTAGTACAAATTTAGTGAAACACAGGGTTGGTTGCAAAGGCTACCACACTATGAAATTTAGAGTCTGGAACTATGCGCCCAGGTACCGTGGGAATTCTTGAAAAAAATCCCACATACCATTAACTTTTATGGCTAACTGCAAGAACATTTTAGGTCGTCTAGTATAGTGCACCGGGCAATACATGAAAATCAACACAACTGCACAGTCAACTTTTATTTGTTGGCTTGTGTGCTGTTTAAAGTAGTATTATCAGATACAACACCTGTGAGGGATACACATACAATACACAAATCAACCATGTTATATGTATACAGGTGTGCTGGAAGCACAGATGTTGGCAGTGGTACCCAGGGGCCTTCCTCATCTGCTTTTTTGGTTCTTATGATAATAGCATTCATTCGTATTGAACACACATGCAAAGTCCTGACAAAATTCTCATTTCAATATTAGATATTTAGGTGTCAAGTTTTGAAGCTGTCCTGTAGTGCTTCAACTGGTACAATAAACTGGCATATGCCAGTGCAACCACCGAACAAGCTTTAGTGTAAGGCTCAGTGACTGTACATGACGTTCCACTTACACCATTTCTTTAGACATAAAAAAAACTTTTGGTTATTGCACAAGCTATGTGTATACCGATGTTTTTTTTTTTTTTCACGTTAATTATTGTCGCAGTAGAAATCTGTAAAGGTGTGGGAACGGGAACTTTTGAAATGATTTCAAATGTTACCAAAAGCAAACCAATTCGATTATCAAAACTGTTTTGAAGATGGAAGAACTGCTTTTACAACTTATACTGTACACTCACTCCTCCTTATAACATAGTTGCATCTTACGAGAAAATAAGCTCGTCATATCCGAAAATTCGTGATAAAGACTATTTCTAACAGTGTATTTATTGCAAGACTATTTTCTATTTAATTTGCTATAACCTTTAATTCGTTATACCGGTGTTTGTTATATCGAGGCTTGAGTGTAAATGATGTTCACATCGAAGTGTTTCCTGTCCTGGCATTAAAACTAGAAATGGACAGCAGCAGGAATGAATAGGCACATTTTTCTCACGTACAGAACTTGCCGGAGTGTGCGAATGACTGCTGTATACCGCTAAAGTCTGGCTCCCCGTGTGATATATCCTGTTGCACCGCACGTTTTACGTATTATGGCTATATTATGCCCGTGCAGGCTAAGTTTATTGCAATTTTACACCGATTTTGTATTTGTATGGGTGCAGTTGACATTCTAAAATACTTGGAAAGTATTCTAGAAACATTCCTGTCTTCAAATAGCACCATTCAATTCAAAGATCAAATCAAAGAGGGCACTGTTTGATTATGTATTTCCATGCATCTTTAAAAAAAAAAAATCTGTGAACATCAGGAACATTCTTTGTGAGCATTGTGTAGGACGACTGTTTTCTAGATGGTTGCAGCTTTAGAGCAAAAGTTGATTACAGTGCCTAATTAAGTAATGGCTTGAAGTACATCAAGGCCCGTTTGGTTTCTGTGAATTGTAGTATCGAAAACCATGATGGCAGCGGTATTCTTGAGTCTTTATGAAAAATGAAATATAGTTAGCTACTGCTGTCATGCTACTAAATGCATCTTGTAAAGGTTAAACCAAATATGAATATAGTGCTTAGCTGTGGCTAACATATGCCACAACGTAATTAGCAAACATGTTATATTTACCAATTACAAACAGTAGTTGCGGTGCCTATTTAGCATCACCATGGTATTACAAATAATATCATGCAGTATTTCACCGACTTTGTAAAATGGTGTTGTTCTCATGTGGGAATTTCCTGACATTGCCCATGCACTACTTTCACTATTTCCTGTTCTCTAATGAAATCTGTTTGTTTTACTTTTACTGTGACCATCGGATTTGTCGAACTCATGTTGTCCCTATAACACTGCTACATGTGGTTCATCATGTGGGTTGTAGTTCTGTACATTTCCCACACTACTCTTGCACACAATGTGGAGAGCTGAAACAGTTTAACATTTGTACTTTTTTGTGTGAATACTAGAAAATGCATACGAATCCATTTTGCTTTTTAGTATTGGGGGAAGTAACGCAAAGGCTTGTCCACCGCACTTCACGCTTGTGTGCCATTCTGGGCCTTGCATGTGCATATGCAATGAAGTTTCACAAAGCAGATCCACAATTTACACAGTGCTTTGAACATGATATCCGGCTTGTCTATTGTATAAACAGCCTCCTTTTACTGTTTTCATTTTTCGTTCCAAGTCCTTTAGTGTAGTGCAACTGTACATTGCAAGAGTGCAAAAGTGTTTGGCTATGTCTTTCGAAGCTTTTCTGGTGATTCTAAGCTTGAACCAAACAACTTGCTTACAAAATTCAGAAAAAACTTACACCTCTTGACAAAAGAACTGAAGTTCGCTATTATTTACCAACTTGGATGTCAGGAACACATCGAGGTGTTGGCACGATACTCGTCAGGAGCAGTTAAATACAAAACACTTGATTGATCTATGCTAAACACACAAAAAAGTTAAAAAAACGTTGATAGGTTTTAAGGTTGACCTGCCGTACTTAAAAGTTAACCTTCATCCTACTACAGTGCAGATAACTTGCAGTGGTTCGTGTTCTGTAAGAAAGAGACAAGTTTAGAAGAGCATACCTTTAGAATGACTGCCAGACCATTGCACCTCTTATCCGCATGTTCGTGAATCAACATCAACCGAACTCACTCTTTCTCAGCTATTCGAGCATACTAAATCATTCAGAATCTGCCACTTTTGCACACCATGGTAGGTGCACAGCCACAAAGGTGGCCTCTGTAACTTGGCATGCTGCCGCAGTCGTGGAGGCCACTACGTAATGGGAATGCTAGTAGATAGCTAGGCTCTGTCCACTGCGAGAGACTCAATTTTCAGTGGCATTCATGGGCCCTTTATGAACCAGCAGAGCGAGTCTGCTAGATTCGCACATTCCCGTAGGGCTGACTGCTCGACAAAGCAGCTTGAGTTGACCGTGCTGAGCCAGTGTGAATGCTGTTGCTTGTTCTTCATCAGTTAGTGTAGTTCCAGTTGGTGTACCTTGACAAGATGGGCACGTGGCTTCTGTGTCTTGAGAACGGCCATGCAAAAATGCCAATATTTGCTTTGTATTGCTCTCGTGCACTCGACTGCTCTCTTGGTCTTGAGCGATCACACCTTGTTTTTTATCGCCTCATATTGTGCCGATGCTCTGGTGTTGTGCGCTTCATTCTAGTCATACAGAAACACTCTCTAGTGGTGTTATCTCGTTTGTAGTTGTGCAAAACTTTCGCACTCCCAGGGTCTCTGTTGTGGAAGTCGATGTTATTTAATTTTCAAGAGCCGCTTTACCACGTTTTAATAACTCACAGCTTTTTAAGCTACAAGAAAAGCTGTTGCCAATTTTGTAGGAAACCCTAGACTGAAGCAAGGCAGGCGCGTGCGCTACTGCCATTCAGCAAGTGCTCACGAGCTGTTGCAGGACAGGTTCGCAACCTGTCACTATTTCTGCATCGAAAATGTCGTCGTTGCATTCGAATTGTTGGAGGAATTTTTCATTGTGCCTGGCCTTTTCTTCGGTCAGTGTCATGCTGTAGTGAAATTGGATTTTTTTCTAGACTGTGTGTACATGATACTGTGTTGATACAATGTGGCTCTTGTTTCCAGAAATTTGTGTGTTGGTCGGTTGTTTTACCTATGTTGGCTTCCTTTTCTTTTATCTGCTTGCCTGGTTGCATGTACGATTGGTTTTGTGGAAATAAATGTGGAACACAACGAACAGGCATCGGTTTGAAAGTATCCGACACTTGTCGCGCAATAGAATATATTCAGAATGAGTATTTGATCTAAAAAAATTAGCCAAGAAAATGCATGTAAGCTCTGAGACGGGATTATGAACATTGACCACATTAGTGGGTTGCAGTAATAAGCAGCATCAATCATGACTGTGTATAAACCCGCTGATCTTAGCTGCGTCTGTGACCAGGTGCATCACTAGTAAGCTCTGAATAGTTGCACCCGACAGATGACATGGCCCTATAAAAGATTTGAATCTCGAAATGCTTGTAAGGTGGCTCAGAGTATCGTACTGTTGTAAAGCTCCTCTAGTTGCTTTCGATACTGCACAGTCTTGATTCTTTCGCCTGTCTTGCAGAATTGCACGAAGGCACTCCCTGCCGACACACTGCATGCAGTTAAAGGAGTACTGACATGATCTAAGCACTTCAAAAAGGACATTTTTCATTTTCATGGTGTGCACTGTCGACGCTCTCAGCACACCAGAGCCAAACAACAATTACAAAATATTGTAGTTTTCGCCACCGAGCATCTTCCAGCCAACCCCACCGCAGGGACATTATCACGACAGCTCTTCACAGTTTGCTGGGGGGGTTGTGAAACTTGCATCTTGCATGCAGTCTAAATCACAGATCTTGGTTGTTTCCATGAACCACGTGCGACTGATGGCAAACTCACATCTGCGGCTCGTATTTGGCAAGTTGCAGTCTTCCGTTAGGTCAGACTTGTGTTGATACATTGCTGTGAAGCCGCTCTCTCAATACTGAAACCGAAAGTGCTGTTTTAAGGTAGCGGTATTAAAGATATGTTCAGTGCATATCACTGCAAGCACTATGACACTTTTTTTAGTGTTCTCGACACCCACGTTTGTATTTAGGAACTGCCCAAAAATATTTGAAATTCATGTCAGTACTCCTTTAATAGGGCAGAACAAGTTTATGCACTTGTGGTATGCCAATCTAAATGCTCGCCTACGACTTGAGAGCATTTGAAAAGAAGTTATCGTGAGAATAACCAATGTTAGAGCAAGAAGACACAACTTGACAAGGTTTCAAGAACAGTGTTCTGTGGCTGTTTATGTGTTGATCTCTGGTAAGTAAGCCAACAACAGTTGATTGATCTAAGGACTAGGTTGTTGCAAGGAAAGTAATGCAATTAGGTACTTTTCGAGGCTCTAACGGAACATATTCAAGGACAAAAATAGCATTGTGTGTAACACCTCGAAAACAAAACCACTTGCTAACAATGCGAGGGTTCTTTATTTCTTTCTTCAACTGCGCAAGAGTGAACAAAGTACACAAAAAGGGCTTGGCAACAAAATCATACTGGATTGCAGTGATGCAGTTCATTTACCAACTGCTAGGATTGGCTTGTGCATGAAGAGACTTCATCTTTATAGCTACCTGTTTAAACACATAGCCAGTGATTCAGATGATTTGAAGTGCATCACAATCAAATGTATGTTTTTTCAAGTTCTTAAGAATTGCATGTATACTGCTAGGTATTCAATTATTTTCACCTAAGGCTTCACAGGCCGCTCTGAACACTGCATGGAGGGAAAAGTAAAACGGATAATCACAGCTAACTCGCGATTCAAGTGCTTATCATTCAATGCATAAATTTCTATTCATTTTTTTTTTTCATAGTTTACTGGTTGCTGCATTCCCATCCCCTCATTGAGTCACTTAAGTGAATATGCGATGTCAGCTAATTCCATACTCTTGGCTCGTTATCTTTAGTGATGTACAGCTGTCATTAGATAGCTTTGTGTCGCATACTATACATGGTGCGGTGCAGTGAATTATAAAAATAACACTCCCACCATGAATGTCTTTATTTTATGCATTCTTGATATGTCATTTGTTGGGACATTTCAGCAACACACCCACCATGAATTTCTTTATCGGTTCTTTTCAATATGTGTCTTTTGTTGGGACATTTCTGCAAAGAATGATTGTGTTGGACGAGAATTGTTGCTGTCACAGCTTCAGAAGAATAAGGAAAAAAAAAGATAAAAAGTTTTTGCACAGATCAGACTTGTTTTTGCTATCACACATACGTAAATACAAGCATGAAGTTTTCTAAATTAAACAGAGGGGACTCTGCCACTGCAATCATTCAGCGATCATGGGAATGATGGGTAGTACACGGATTCGCCTAGTCTTCGTACTTGTGGGTTTTGGACGTACTTGTGGCTTTGTTTATTGCTGTGTTTTCGTTTTGTTTGGAATAGCACAATGGGCGGTGGTGAACTTTGTGTGTCGATTTGAAACGGTGAGCCTAAAAGACTAAAGGCGCCCTGAAACACTTTTTCAAGTAACCATGGAATGAATTCACTAAAAGAGCTTATTGTCTCACGAATTTAACACTGCTAAAGTTTTAAGAATCCGTCCAGTACGAGCAGAGTTCCAAAGATTCGTCGCATGCTGCGATAGCATTCGCTCTTTTTTTGTCCCGACGAAAGCGCTGGAAGCTAAGCAGAGAGGGACGGCAGGGGCAAATAAAATGCATCACGCACGACTTGTGACCTTAAGCACTGTTTTTTTTCTTTCTTCAAATACGCGGCTTCTTCAGCGTGATAGCGCATGCACAACTCGCAGCCTCCTGCGGCGGTCCCTGTAACGACCGAGCGCGCCATGTTCGAATCAGCCAATGGCTGATAAATGGCCTTCTACGAGTGATTTTTGAGTGCCTTTCGTCATTTTTCGAGGGAAGAGAAAGCAATATTTAGCAGACTTTAAAGTTTATTGTGAATTCCAAGGCATGTGCTGCGCTGTAATATTTAACCCGGGGAGTTCTTGTTCTCGAGAACCCATACTACCAATGGGCAGCAATTTCTGACCATCTTCAAAAAGTGTTGCAGGGCCCCTCTAAAGTAGTAAAGTCCAATTTCTGAACATTTTATATTTTTTGTTTTGTGACAAAACAGCTTTAAGCCATGCGTAGCCCATCTGAGCCGAAGGTACGAAAATTTGACAAATCCATGTACTACCTACCCATCATCGGCACTGAAGTGCTGTATTGCAGCTCCCGTAGACAGCAGAGCCAGAGTTTCCTCTAGTGTATTTATAAGAAACTCTATTGCTACAAGCACAAGTGATATAATAAGAGTGCTCTTCATCCTATGTGAAGCTAGCTTCGCTTAGCAGATTAGCACAATGTCAGCTCAAGAGGTGCAGGCAATGAACGGAACGGTACCGCTCTATCCTTTTATTTTCACATTTTGCCCCTGCCTCACAACACATATGCAGTACAAGGCTATTAGCTACGCACTTGCATGTATGTTCCCTTTCATGAAAGTGGTGGCTGTGCCAGCTATGACGTCATAAATTTAATAGAATTACATTCGTATGCTAGTGTATGCATGTGATTCAGGTGGGCAATATGCAAGGTGTTTCAAGAAATGTGTTGAATATTCTTTAAAAAATTTGGGAAATGCGACATTTTCTTGCTTTCTTCACGATTGCTTTTTTTCTGTAGGGGCTCGCATCTTAAGACGGTTGAAAACATCACTCGGGACAATAATTATGAAAGTTAATCAAGTGTTCAATAGTGGAGTTATGCAGTTATGTCTAAATAATTGAAATTCTTCAAGCAAAAACCCATTGCAGCTTTGAATTCAGAAAAGGTGGCCTATATCAATTGTTGTGGCCTGAGGAAATTCAGGCAAATTCAACGGTGAAACTGAAACCGAAGCCCTGATGAGCGCAACAAGCAGACTAAAATGACGTCACTCTTCAAGACAACGATCACAGGTGTGCCATTCTTTCTCGTTCGTTAACATGTGTATATCATACATGCTGACATTACAAGCGCAGCCCACACACCCACACAACAAAGTTGTTTGATGGTTTGTGTAACGATGCTCGCTCATTCAGAACGTCTCAGACAAATATGGCAGCTGCACTCGTCCCCATATTGATTTTGGTTTTGCAGCACAATTTTGGAGAATTTGATTACTTTGCAGTTATTATTAGAGGTCGCTAATAAATGAAGGGTCTAAATTCTCCAGTTTCACTTAACCACCTATCTCTGATAATTAAATAAATTAACCCAAATCTTTGAATTACTGCACTTTATGATGTCTTTAGTCATCAGATTCCTGCCGCTTCAGAAAAAGTAGTTGTGAAGACAGTGAGCAAATATTGGATTTTTCAAATTTTCAAGAATATTGAAACACCCTGTATGTATACGTGAGTAGGTTCAGAGATTAACACTTTCGGTACACGTCACTTCGCCAACAGGAATGAATAAAATAAGCACAACTAACATCAGTGTTTCACACGGCACATTTTTCAGATGCTTCGAGACTGCACTAAGCATTTCCTAGAGTACCAATATCAACATAACAAATAGTGAAACATGCCCTCACATACACATTTTTAGCAAGACACACTATTTTTGGAAGCCTTTGGTCCAAAGTATCTGTTATTAGTCCCATTACTCTGTACTGGAATGTTTCAGTTGTATTCTGATAGTTCCTCATGTCGTCCATAAGATTGTTATGAAGATTTAATAAAACTTACATACAATCCATATTTAGTCGGTAAAATTATGTGGAAATCATGGATTTATTCAGAATGGCATGCAGGATGTCACAATATATCTTTGTGCTGCACATATGTTCCATTGCAAGTCAACGTGCATGCCTTTGCTTACACTCTAAATTGCGGTTTGTGTAAGATCAAAAAATATATGCTATAAAGGTATGTGCAAGGCAAGTCGACAACTGTCCGTTGCTTCCTTTCTTTTTCTTGCAGGCAACCGCCTGCTAGAAAAACTTCATTCGGGGAGATTGTTGCATTTCCTGTGGCGTAGATGGCAAGAAGACATTACGTGCACAAATAAACATAAGTACAATCACCCGGACAATACATGTTGATTCCCCCTAGCGCACCTGCTGGCTTAGAATGCCAGCAGCATGGGCATAATGCCATGCGACAGCACTGATATTATTCACACTTTGGATAGTATAATACTATAATGCTATAAAATCTGAGCACTCTCTAGTGGCTTATAATGTTGGTTTACATTGAGAATTTTGTTGCAAAAATGGGGCAGAAAGATGGCAAGTTACAGTCTCGTGAATCGAAGTAGCAATGGCAATTAAGGATTCCGAAAGAACAGGCAGTAATAAGAGATTGAAAACGTGGGCTTGCAGCATAGCGTAGCATTCTGGGAAGAAGTCTGGAATGTTACTAGGGTGAACTAACACAGCATGCAAAACCACATGCAGTGATAGAAATTGAAAATGATGGCAGTGGCAAATAAGCATGTGGGAAAATGTGCATGGTCATTGCCTTTCACTTATCATTGATGAGGCAGTACTACTTTTCTTAACAATAGAAAAGTTTATTTTCAAAAATTTTCAAAAGTATGATTGCGGAACAGTCTTGAGATCAGCCCTGGAGGTGATTCTGGGAATACAGCATCATTTAAAAAAATATGCACAGCAATTCATTGCATCAGTTAAAAGCATCAGCAGGCTACACAACACTTGCTAATGCTGTCACAAAAGGCATCATTGTGGTCTTTACATGATTCAAACTTCATCCTGGCAGTGTAAAAATGGCCGAAGTCTTAATCAAACATACAAATGGTCCAAAGTTAAAATACTGTCGCAGGAAGGAAGCCTGTTGAAAAACATGCTTAAAAAAATGTTGGTATGAAGAGACACCACGAGAGACACATGTTATAGCGCACAAAAAGTGCACGTGATTTTTTTTTTTCAACCACAACTTCAACTGCATCACCTCTTTCTGTGCTCTGGTATCTTTCCTGATCCACTTCATTGTAGTGTAACCACAGTCTTTGATTTATATGTGGGGTTTAACGTCTCAAAAGCAAGCACAGTCTTTGGTAAAGAACATTAAAAAAAGAATGTCCACAAATGGCAATTTCGGCACAACTTTTTCACTTGTGCTGGCATGTTTGAGATTCTGTCATCACATGTTGTTGGGCATATGCAGATATAAAATGAACAGTTTCACAAGTGCATTGGTGTAAATGTGCCATGATTTAAAATGATCCCTAACTCTGCATAAGTTTCACCGAATAACCTTATGTCGATGAGAATGAATTAGCACTGCGGAACATCTTTCTCCACTGTCATTATTTAGCCAAAAAGATGAATGTACAAAGTGAAATATAAGTTTGAAGTGTTTACAGAACGTGAGCAGCGAGACTGATGTAAAAGATGCTTCAGTATGGCTTTAATGATATGGCTTGGGCACCAATTGCAACATACAGTTCAACCCCTTTGTAAGAGACACTGATGCAAGATAGGTGGTGACACACTAGAAGTTGTAAAGAAATACGTCTACATAGGACAGGTAGTAACTGCAGAGCTGAATCTGAAATATCTAGAAGAATAAGGAGTGAAATATCTAGAAGAATAAGGATGAGGTGGAACACATTTGGCAAGCATTCTCAAATCATGAGTGGAAGTCTACCACTATACTGTGAGAGGAAGGTACCATAATTACTCGAATCTAACGCGCACCTTTTTTCCGGTTAAGCGAGTTCATAAATCGCATGCGCGTTAAAATCGAGTGCGAAAAAAAATGAATACGGTCATTCTATTGCCATCAGCATTTCCAAAATGGCCACCCCCAACGTGCTTCGGCATGGCGCGTCGGCCATTTCTGCCTATGTGTTTTCCATGTGCGGCACTTTGTATGTGTGCTGAGGAGTTCGTCATCTTGTAGTTCATCAGCATCGACGGCATGGAAGGGCCGACTCCAGAAACTCGACGAGTGCACCACGATGCCGCTTTTAAAAGAAAAGTCATCGCATGTGCCGAAACAGACGGAAATCAGGCCGCATCGCGGTCGTTCGGAGTTCCCGAAACGTGCGTGTGGGACTGGCGGAAACAAAAGCAGAAGATTGTCAAAGATTCATGCAAAGGCTTCAGTGGACCACAGCAGGGTCGGTTTTCGCAAATTGAAGAGCTGCTCGCTGAGTATGTGCTTGAGCAGCGAGCGGCACAGCGGCCCGTGACGACAGAACTGCTCTAAGTGCGGGCTATGCAGTTAGCTTTAGAAAAAGGGCTAACGCGGAGCCAGTTCAAAGCGAGCAGGTGCTGGCTAACTAACTTTATGAAGAGGAAAAGGCTTTTCCCTCCGAAAGCGAACGGGCATGCGCCGAAAATTGCCGGAGGAGTACGAAAAAAAGCTTCACAGTTTTCAGAGGTTCGTCCTAAACTTGCGGCACAACAACGGCTACCTGCTTGGGCAAATCGGGAATGCCAATCAGATGCCTCTTTACTTCGACATGCCTGGCACCACAATCGTCGAGAAGAAGGGGGCGAAGCAAGTTCGCATGCTGACATCGGGCCACGGTAAAACAAGAGTGACGGCAATGCTCTGTTGCACGTCAGATAGGTACAAGCTTCCCCCGTACCTCATATTTAAACGGAAGACGCTCCCGAAAAAAGTCTTTTTCCCGAGTAGTGTGATCGTGCGGGCCAACAAGAAAAATGGGTGCGCGTTGCAATCGATGTCTTACTTTTTTTTTTTTTTTCGTCGTGAAAACCGAGTGCGCGTTACAATCGAGGGCACGGTAGAATCGAGTAAATACGGTATGTAACAACTGAATCTTGCCTGTACTTACCCATGGAGCAGAAACTTGGAGGCTTATAAAGAGTGTTTAAATTGAGGACGATGTAGTGAGTGAGAGCAAGGAAAATGATAGGTGTAACCTTAATAGGCACAAAAAGAGCCGAGCGGGTCAGGGAACAAACAGGGGAGGTTAAAAATATCACAGTTGAAATCAAGAAGAAATGGACATAAGTCGGGCATGTAGTACATAGGCAAGATAACGCTGGTAATCAAGGGTAACTGACTGAATTCCAAGAGAAGGCAAAGCGCGTGAGAGCAAGACAAAGAACTAGGTGGGCAGATGAGATTAAGAAGTTTGCAGGTATAAAGTGTCAGCAGAAAGCACAGACAGGACTGGTTGGATTGGCAGAACATGGTAGAGGCCTTTGCCCTGCAGTGGGCGTAGTCAGGCTGATGATGATGTAAGAGTCACTAGGGGTGTAAGAGACACCAGTGTGCCTGCATTAAAATAGGGTCCAACTGAAGGTGAGGACATGGTACCATGCTCATAAGAGGCACCTTTAAGAAAGAAGAACTGCTCCCCAGTATGTGTCTTTTATATAGGAGCGCAACTGTGTTGTGTTGAGCGACGGACAACATTTACTATAAAATACTGCATATCAAGCGATGTGAGATTAATCCTGACTACATGTGTTTGCATATACTAAATGCGACAGCGTTCTTGCACTCAGCCTTCCCCCTAAGTAGCTTCTACGGCCAGGAATTAAACTCATTGCTGGATGCACAGCGGCAAGGCGCCATGGAGCCATTGCGACATGCCAGCCCTCCTCCACAGGTTGTTCAAAGTATTTGAGCTCAGATGGAAAAGGCAACCTGAATTTCTTCTATCCTGTTACTCAGTGCTTTGTCGACTCTTAACAGATTCATCACCACGTCCATCATTTGGCATCGTGTTGTCAGAGTACCAGCTTCCTGGGTCACAGCAATAACCATCGTGCTCCGACTTAATGTGGCAAACAGGGTGGACGAGCTTCAGGTTTTCAGTTGTGAACAGAAGCCTGTAGAAGTATTCGGCGTTGACAGCTCTTCCATCAGCAAGCTCAATGGCTTTAGACATGGTTGGCAGAATGGATCTGGACCTCTCGATTCTGCACAAGGAGGTTAGCTCAGTGAGGATGACAGCCGTTTTTCTTGGTGCTACAGTTTACAAACGATGCAGTGTTGGCAAAAAAAAAAAAAGTCACAGCGTTGCCACAAAGACGAAGCAACAAATTGGAAGGTCACATGCAGAATGGCAAGCAGATCGAAACGTGCCCCGCGTTTCTCATGCACAAATAACGCATGAAACGTACTCACAGGTACAGATGAACGCGAATAAGCGCCTCAGTTGTTACTTCGCTGTGTCTGAAAAGCGCGCGCTTTTCGCAAACAGAAACTGCAATGATTGCAGTGACCTTTGTGCGCCCGGTAACTACAATAGAATCGTTCCAGGTAAAGCCTGAGGTCATCCAAGACGTATGATCCTCCCCGTGAGATAAGGGTGCGCGAGGGAGCGTCGCCCGCCTGCTCTAAGCGGGGCAAAGTTTGCATGGGAGATGAGGGCGCGCGCTCATGCGCCATCTTGCTGTTAATGCTGAAAACACGATACTTCCCCCTCCGAGATGCTTATCACCAGCGGTAAGTGGTAGATATAAATAGCTTCCCATTCGCACATTGATGGACGTGCTCCTTCGGTGGCTCAGTAGTTTGTGCCTTGCACTCACGACGCAGAGGCTCCGTTCGATTCTGCGTGCCGGAGTCTTTTTATGGATTTTTTTTCTTGCGTTTTCGTAAATATAGATACGTATACATAGGCGGTGAGTGACACTGATGCCAGCGGCAAAATCCAGCCAAGAGTGCCCGTATGCTTTCTATCGCAAGAATATGCACTCAGGCTGGCTCGATACGAAAAATTGGACCATCAATTACAAACTCAATTGCCCTAACGTAACACCTGTATTGATAACATAACTGTTTAGGTAATACTCTGCACACATGCCTTGCATATTTTCTCACAAAACGTCGAATGACTACTCTAAAGTTTCTTGGAAAGGCACCTGGGAGTCTCTTACCTGTGGTCCAAATTCCACGTGCTGAATATGACCAGCTGCTCTCTGCTGGCATACGGGTTGATCGCGTGAAGCCGTCCAGAGCACAGGTCCTTGCTGAACGTCCCCTGGCAATTGAACTGGCCGTCACTCAGGCAAAGTGCACCTGCTTCACCACGCACGAAGTAGTGGCCGTTGTGGTCATTCTGCTTGAGTAGCTGTAGGAATTCCTCGAACAGGTGACGCACGCAACCTCTCTTGCTCTCCCCGAGTCGCTTCTGCATCTCGTCTTTAGACTGCACCACAAGAAAAAAAGAAACCATTGCGTGACACGTACCTACGTAGTTTACGAAAGCAAGAGATGCAAGTTGCTTGGGTTGTGCAGGCAACCACAATAACAACGGCAAAAGGTGGGAGACGAATACAGTAGACTCTCGGTAAACAGAATTGATGTTTGAACTAAAAAACTGCATCTAGCACAATTGGTTTCGAACTTGCACTTTACAGTCTTATTCACTTCTCAGTAAATGCAACTCCTGTTAAATGGAACATATTCCTGGTTCCTTTAGGTTCTCCTTAATAAGAGTCGACTGTATGCTGGTACTGTGGTTTTTCGACTAAGTGGTTCTTGACTACCGTAATTACTCGAATCTAACGCGCACCTTTTTTCCGGTTAAGAGAGTTTATAAATCGCATGCGCGTTAGAATCGAGTACGAAAAAAAAAATGAATACGGACATTCTATTGCCATCGGCATTTCCAAAATGGCCGCCCCCTACGTGGGTCGGCATGGTGCGTCGGTCATTTCTGCCTATGTGTTTTCCATGTGCGGCACTTCGTACATGTGTTGAGGAGTTCGTCATCTTGTAGTGCATTAGCATCGACGGAATAGAAGGGCTGAGTCCAAAAACTCGATGAGTGCACCACGATGCTGCTTTTAAAAAAAAGTCATTGCGTGTCTCGAAACGGACGGAAATCGGGCCGCATCGCGTTCGCAGTTCCCGAAACGTGTGTGCGGGACTGGCAGAAACAAAAGCAGAATATTGTCGACAGCAAAGATTCACGCAAAGGCTTCAGTGGACCACAGCAGGGTCGGTTTCCGCAAATTGAAGAGCTGCTCGGCGAGTATGTGATTTAGCAATGAGCGGCCCGTGACGACAGAACTGCTCCAAGTGCAGGCTATGCAGTTAGCCTTAGAAAAAGGGCTAATGCGGAGCCAGTTTAAAGCGAGCAGGAGCTGGTTAACTAACTTTATGAAGAGAAAAGGCTTTTTCCTTCTGAAGGCGAACGGGCATATGCCAAAAGTTGCTGGAGGAGTACGAAGAAAAGCTTCACAGTTTTCAGAGGTTCGTCCTAAGCTTGCGGCACAACAAGGGCTACCTGTTTGGGCAAATCGGGAATGCCGATCAGACGCCTCTTTACTTCGACATGCCTGGCACCACAGCGGTCGAGAAGAAGGAGGCAAAGCAAGTTCGCGTGCTGACATAGGGCCACGGTAAAACTAGAGTGACGGCAATGCTCCGTTGCACATCAGATAGGCAAACCTTCCCCCGTACCTCATATTTAAATGGAAGACGCTCCCAAAAGGAGTCGTTTTCCCGAGTGGTGTGATCGTGCAGGCAGATGAGAAAAATGGGTGCGCGTTGCAACCGATGTCTTACTTTTTTTTTTTCGTTGTGGAAACCGGGTGCACGTTACAGTCGAGGGCGCGGTAGAATCAAGTAAATACGGTAGTATTTGGTTCAATGGCACAGCAGCATTATTCATGCTTTGTAAAAAAATGTGTCAGACCTTCAAATGTAAAAAAATCACAGCATATCCACGGAGTGAATAATGATTGGTGGGGCGAAGCATTCATCAGTGCGTCTGTGCTTTTGTCCGCCCATTCATTCTTGCTTCCGTCCGTCCCTGTGACCGTGAATGCATCCGTCTGTCTGTGCGTCTTTCCATGAGTCCGTCCGTATGTCCATTCTTCTGTATGTGCGTCTGTTCATGTGGCCGTCCCTCTGTCTGTCTGCTCGTTCGTCCGTGCGTCTGCCCCTCTGTCTGTCTGTGTGTCCGTCAGTCCGTCCGTCATTCTGTATGTCCGTCCGTCTATCTAGTGAACACTCCAAGTAAAGCCATCTCACATCTTTTCATCATATATTCCTCACATACAAGTGCGGCTACCCAGCGGACATTCTAAGGACCGCTCTTTCGGGTATGTGACACAGGTGGCTACATACACCATCAGAGAATGGACAGACGCACACCCTCAGGAGCTCTGCCACTAAAAAAAACTAGTGCTACACACATCAGCATATATAAGTAAACCTTTTGTTCTTACAAGGCATGCAAGTTCTCGTGCATATTCACCACCTTTCAGTAAATCACGTACTTTATGCAGAGCACTTGAGTGAGTCTGTTTGAGACCCCAGGAATTTAAACCATCGGCTCAATCGGTTTGTATTGTTTGCGACTGCTTCAAATCTTCTAAGTTTTGGTTTATTTCCTTCTTTTTGCGTGTGTTGTGTCGTGCGACTGTCCGTTGGTCACTCGAAGGGGTCGTCCTCCTTGTTTATGGGCACCTGCGATCGGCGAGCCTCCCAGTGCTGCGGGCGCCGGGTCAGCACAAAGGCGGCGGCCCGCTTTATTGCACCTTGTCAGTTCGGGTGCAAGAAGAGGGAAACATGCCGCTTTGGGCATCCGTGGCCTGTGGGACGTTTGACACTGCTTCCTCGAATGGCGAAGCGACGGAATTTCCCCACTGACTTCGTAGAACAATTTGTGCACATGTGTGTGTGTGTGTTTGTGTGTGTGTGTGTGTGGTGCGTACGCGTTTGCATCAGCGTGCGCGTATGTGTACTCGGATCTGTGGTCGAGAGAGGAGAGCGAGAAAGCATGGGAAGAGCCAGAGACGCAGCAAGAACAGCGAGCGAAGAAGAGTCTGCGAATTGCGAGGGACTTGAGCGGTTGTGCGTTGTGTGATGTGCGAGTAATATTATAACCTAGTTTTCTTAAGTAAATACAAGCTTCCTTTTTACATTTTCTTAACAGTGCGTCAGTCATGTGTTGTTTCTTCTATCATATTTCACCTTTTTACGGCCATATCTGCGACACCCTAAACTTTACCAAAAGCGGGATAGAGGACGCTAACATTCATCAGAAGTGGGATTTGACCGATTTTAGAAAACGTTCAGAACGAGTTTGAAATATCTTAGCGAGGAGTGCGATTGCGTCAGTGCGAGAACAAAGCAATGGTGGACTTCCAGTGAGTGTGCACTTCCAGAGAGCTAACATCAGCCATGCTGGACGGATTATCGCCGGAGAAGAGTGGTCACTGTGATGACGACGGCTGTGCTGGGCTCACCAAGCGGGAACTTTTCGACGCTTTGCACGAGAAAGACCGCTTGTTGGTGGACCTGCTGCGGCGGCTGCCTCAGCCAGAGTCGTCGGGGGCTCCACGCCAGGCGGCCATCAACATGTTTCAGGTGATGCCTGATTTGAGCAGGAATATTCCAAACTTTTCCGGTGATGGTTGCGCGTCAGCAGCCCGGGAATGGATGGAAAGTTTGTGGCAGATGGCTACGCTTCACCAGTGGCCAACGCCATTCCTGCTCGAAACTGCCAAGTGTCACCTTGTCGGCGCCGCAAAAGATTGGTACCGTTCGGGAGCTGCCGAAATTTCATCGTGGGACGATTTCGAGCGGATGTTCGGGCAGACTTTCTACAGCCAGACTCGGGCGGCGGAGCAATGGAGGTGTATGCAAGAGCGAATGCAGCAGCGAAATGAGAACACGGCTGCGTACTTCCACAAGAAGGTGCGCCTTTGCAGAGAGGCGCACTTGGATTTCTGTGATACGAGGGAGCAGGTGCTGACCGGTCTCCGATCGCGGGAGTTATGCACAATGCTTCTTGGAAGGTCGCACGAAGACGCGGATGACCAGCTGCATGACATTCAGGAATTTGAGAGGATCGACCGTGAGCGACGCTTCGGGACAGCAGCTGAACGAAGAGCGACGAGCGATGCACTTCGTATGCAACCTGCACCAAAGGCGCCGCTGCAGGGTGCGTCCGGGTACGACAAGCGGGACCAGCGGCCACCTGTCACAAATCAGAACGGTGAGCGAAAATGTTATAATTGTTTCAAATTCGGATACATTTCACGGGATTGCCCAGAGGAATGACGAATAGAAAAATATCTAAAATGTAGGACGACTGGGCATACCCAAAAACACTGCCAAGCAAAAGGCCCCAGAAATGAGACCAACGCTGTCTCTGGAGAAAAAATTGACCCTGGCGTGCTTTTGAAGCACGTTAAATGGAATGGCTATGAGACTTTGATTGGCATGTTAGACACAGGCAGTTCCGGTTGCTTACTGCGCGAATCAGCGGCGGTGCGGTGCGGAGCAGAAATGCTGGAAGGTGCTACCGCTCTGTATGGTTTCGGCAGCCAGGGCATTCCAGCTGCTCGTACGATTGGCAGGTGCCAGGCCGACTTGCTGATAGGTGGCGTCGTTGGCAAGAACATACCGATACTTGTTGTACCCGACGAGGCCCAGTCGGTCGACTTGCTTGTCGGTCGCACGTTTACCGATCTGCCATATGTGACCTACGCTGGGCTGGGCGGCAGCTTGCAATTCTGGCATAGAGACGAGTGCCCATTCTCACATCTCGAACCCTTCGTTTCGTGTCCGAAATTACGTTTGAAAACTGCTGAAGAGACCCCACTGCAGGCCAATGTCATAAATTGGGTGAGACTGTCATCGCAGTCTAACGTCACTGGTGCAGTGCTATTCAACAACTGTGGGTGCGAAATTCTTGTTGACATGGAGGACGGAGAGGTTACTGTGCCGGTGTTTATGAGCGGAAATGATGACGTGGTTTTACGTAAAGGACAAAGACTTGGCCACGGGACAGAGGTGGACATCCCTGGTTGCGAGATGATCGAAACAAATGAGTGCAGAGAGGAGTGTGGCGTGGAGAAGCCAGAGCAAATTCTGATTACAGAGGCGCAACGGCCGATTGGGTGCGAGAAAATTAGAATGGGCCCCTCCGTAACGGAGGAGCAGCGTCGTGAGCTCGCGTGCCTCCTAAATGAGTACCGGGATTGTTTCGCCGCCAATCTCAGCGAACTTGGCTGCACACCTGCCCTTTCGATGGACATACAGGAGATACCAGGTAGCGCACCCATGGCTGTTCGGCCCTACCGCATGAATGCAGCAAAGCGAGAGGCTATACGTGACATCGCCGGAGAGTGAGAAAGAGATGGAATCGTAACTGAGACACATTCCGAGTATGCGAGCCCAGTCATTCTCATCGAAAAGAAAAATGGAGAGCAGCGCGTGGTTGTTGACTATCGTCGGCTGAACGCTCAGACGATAAAGGAGAAATATCCTTTGCCAGCTATCGATGACCAGCTTGAGGGTCTTGCCGGGGCCGAACTATACGTCGTCCTTGACCTGGCATATGGATACCTCCAAGTCCTCTTTGACCGAAGAGGCCAAAAGAAAAACTGCATTTAAAACTCCTGATGAGACAGGAAAATTCGAGCGCATGATGTTTGGACTTACAAATGCCCCGTCCGTGTTCCAGCGTCTCATGAATCGTGTGGTGGGACCACTGAGAGGTAAGGTTGCTATGTGCTACCTTGACGACGTGTTAACACCAGCTAAAGACTGGGATGAGTTCATAATGCGTCTGCACCTGGTACTTGAGGCATTCCGAACAGCTAATCTGACACTCCGGCCCAGCAAGTGTGTTTTGGCGATGGACTCCGTGGATTTCCTCGGATTCTGAATGAAAAGTGGAACCGTGCAGCCGGGCGACACGAAGGTGCGAGCAATAGCCGAACTCCCAATGCCAAAAAGTGTTCACGACATCAGGAGATTCTTGGGCCTAACAAGTTTTTTCTCAACGCTTCATACTGCGGTACGCCTTGGTTGCCGAGCCCCTTTCTAGACTGACCAGGAAGGACACGGCGTTTCAGTGGAGTGCTGAGCAAAATGAGAGTTTTGCGGCTTTGAAGGCCAAGCTGACATGCGAACCGGTGCTACAGTTGTACGATCTAAATGCGGAAACGGAGCTGCATACTGACGCCAGCACCAAAGGTTTGGCAGCCATGCTCCTGCAAAGAAAAGGTGGCGAGTGGCATCTCGTTTACTGCATGAGTAAAAAGACGACCGACGCTGAAAGCAACTACCACTGATCCAAATTGGAACTAATGGCAATAGTGTGGGCTGTGGACCGACTTAGGCCGTTGTTACTTGGAATATCAATTACAATCGTGACCGAATGTCAGGCGCTTGTGTACCTCAACACACAGCAAACGCTTAAACCACAAATCGCGCGTTGGTATGACTTAATCCAGGAGTTCACATTTACAATCAAGCATCTGCCAGGAGCACGAATGCTTCATGTGGACTCGCTGAGCAGAGGGGCCGTCAAGGAGCCAACTGACACGTTGAGTACACTCCTTGCGGACCGTTTTGAAGTGTGTGTCACTCACTGTTGCCGATCACGTCTTGGTCCTGCGGAGGGGAGATGAGGAGCTAAGAGAGATCATAACGATGCTGAAAAAGTCACAAGAATGTTGCACCAAGGGTGAAAGACGAAGAACTGAAGGTTACTCGATTATGAACGGATGGCTTGTGCGGAAGATAGGGCAAGGTGAGCAAGCGAGGCACAATTTCGTACTGCCAAAGAGCATGGGGAAGGCATTAGTAGTGCAGTCCAAGACTTGATGGGGCCGTTTGCACTAGACCGCACAGTAGCAAAGATACAAGAGAACTTTTGCTTCCACGCATGCGTAACTATGTTCATAAGCATATATCGCAGTGCTTCCAGTGTATAAGCAACATATGCTCCTTCCGGGAAGTGGGAAGGACTTTTGATCCTATCCCCCCTGGGAGAGGCCATTTGAAGTGTGGTTTCACATGGACCAGCTATGACCCTTTTGTGCAGAAGCAACGCAACCCGTAACCGTTTGTGATTGTGACAACCGAAGTTTGTGAGGGTGTTCCCGAGGCGCGACACGTCGACGAAGCTGGTCCTCGCAGCGCTATGTGTTACCAATGTGCGGCACTTCATACGTGTGTTGAGGAGTCCGTCATCTTGTAGTGCATTAGCATCGACGGAATAGAAGGGCCGAGTCCAAAAACTCGACGAGTGCACCACGATGCCGCTTTTTAAAAAAAGTCATCCCGTGTCCCGAAACGGACGGAAATCGGGCCGCATCGCGTTCGGAGTTCCCAAAACGTGCGTGCGGGACTGGCGGAAACAAAAGCAGAATATTGTCGACAGCAAAGATTCACGCAAAGGCTTCAGTGGACCACAGCAGGGTCGGTTTCCGCAAATTGAAGAGCTGATTGGCGAGTATGTGATTTAGCCGTGAGCGGTCCCTGACGACAGAACTGCTCCAAGTGCAGGCTATGCAGTTAGCCTTAGAAAAAGGGCTAATGCGGAGCCAGTTTAAAGCGAGCAGGAGCTGGTTAATTAACTTTATGAAGAGAAAAGGCTTTTCCCTCTGAAGGCGAACGGGCATATGCCAAAAGTTGCCGGAGGAGTACGAAGAAAAGCTTCACAGTTTTCAGAGGTTCGTCCTAAACTTGCGGCACAACAATGGCTACCTGTTTGGGCAAATCGGGAATGCCGATCAGACGCCTCTTTACTTCGACATGCCTGGCACCACAACGGTCGAGAAGAAGGGGGCAAAGCAAGTTCGCGTGCTGACATCGGGCCACGGTAAAACTAGAGTGACGGCAATGCTCCGTTGCACGTCAGATAGGCAAAAGCTTCCCCTGTACCTCATATTTAAGCGGAAGACTCTTCCAAAAGGAGTCGTTTTCCCGAGTGGTGTGATCGTGCAGGCAGATGAGAAAAATGGGTGCGCGTTGCAACCGATGTCTTACTTTTTTTTTTTCGTTGTGGAAACCGGGTGCACGTTACAGTCGAGGGCGCGGTAGAATCAAGTAAATACGGTAGTATTTGGTTCAATGGCACAGCAGCATTATTCATGCTTTGTAAAAAAATGTGTCAGACTTCAAATGTAAAAAATTACAGCATATCCACGGAGTGAATAAGATTGGTGGGGGGAAGCATTCATCAGTGCGTCTGTGCTTTTGTCAGCCCATTCATCTTGCTTCCGTCTGCCATGCATCCGTCCCTGTGACCGTGAATGCATCCGTCTGTCTGTGCGTCTTTCCATGAGTCCGTCCGTATGTCCATTCTTCTGTATGTGCGTCTGTCGTGTGGCCGTCCCTCTGTCTGTCTGTTCGTTTGTCCGTGCGTCTGCCCCTCTGTCTGTCTCTGCGTCCGTCAGTCCATCCGTCAGTCCGTCCGTCATTCTGTATGTCCGTCCGTCCGTCTATCTAGTGAACACTCTAAGTAAAGTTATCTCACATCTTTTCACCATATAATCCTCACATACAAGTGCGGCTACCCAGCGGACATTCTAAGGACCGCTCGTTCGGGTATGTCACACAGGTGGCTACATACACCATCGGAGAATGGACAGACCCACACCCTAAGGAGCTCTGCCACTAAAACTAGTGATACACACATCAGCATATATAAGTAAACCTTTTGTTTTTATAAGGCATACAACTTCTCGTGCATATTCACCACCTTGCAATCACGTACTTTATCTAGAGCGCTTGAGTGAGTCTATTTGAGACCCCAGGAATTTTTACTATCGATTCAATCGGTTTGTATTGTACCCGACTGCTTCAAATCTTCCAAGTTTTGGTTTATTTCCTTCTTTTTGCGTGTGTTGTGTCGTGCGACTGTCCGTTGGTCACTCGAAGGGGCCGTCCTCCTTGTTTATGGGCACCTGCGATCGGCGGGCCTCCCAGTGCTGCGGGCGCCGGGTCAGCACAAAGGCGGCGGCCCGCTTTATTGCACCTTGCCAGTTCGGGTGCAAGAGGAGGGAAACATGCTGCTTTGCGCATCCGTGGCCTGTGGGATGTTCGACACTGCTTCCCCGAATGGCGAAGCGACGGACTTCCCCCACTGACTTCGTGGAACAATTTGTGCACGTGTGTGTGTGTGCTGCGTGCGTGTTTGTGTCAGCGTGCGCGTATGTGTACTCGGATCTGTGGTCGAGAGAGGAGAGCGATAAAGCGTGGGAAGAGCCAGAGACGCAGCGAGAAGGGCGAGCGAAGAAAAGTCTGCTAATTGCGAGCGACTTGAGCGGTTGTGCGTTGTGCGGTATCGAGTGGTTGCTACGAGTAATATTGTAACTTAGTTTTCTTAAGTAAATACAAGCTTCCTTCTTTACGTTTCCTTAACAGTGCGTGAGTCGTGTGTTGTGTCTTCTATCATATTTCACCTTGTTACGGCCATATTTGCGACACCCTAAATTTTACAGAAATCGGGATAGAGGACCCCAACAGTATACAATCAGCAAAACAACTTCGGGATCTCTCTAATGTAAGGGCAGTGCACATTCTATAGCTACCCAATTTCTAAACATGCAATACTCTTCTAAGGGGGCAATCGTTTCAAAACCAAATTAATGACCAACATGAAGTATCCAAAACATACCTTATAGTAGTATCCCTTGATTCGTGTCTTGGCTCTCTCCCTAAGAACAGACCTTTTCGATACTGCCCGCTTCTCCCCTGGACAGTGAAATGAAATGACAAAACAATTTTTTTTTGAAGAATGTCAATGCAAATGCACTAATGCACCAGTTAGTTTTTTGTTTTTTTTCTGTTTCCTTTACACAGTACCTAGACAACCTGGGTCTTGTTCTAAAATAAAAAATTCAGTGGTTGCATAAGAACTTCTAAAATGGACTTTTAACAAAATACTTCATCAGCCTCAATAGACTGTGTTTTCCTCTATTGTACTTTTAGCAGGCAACTATTTCACAGCTTCCAAACTTAGCAGCCGGAGACGATTCATGCAAGTCACATATATAAGCAAAATGCAGCATGACGTGAAACGCACAGCGAGTAAACCACGGTACAATTGCCAATTGCCAATTGACAACATTAAATGCCAGAAAAAACTATACTAGTATCGTCCAATACTTGTAGCACACTGTGCACCGGAAGCACCAATATGAAGAAAAGGATCCTGTTGTGACAAATTCAAGTACACAAGTTCTTTCCTCAACAAGGCAATCAACACTTTAGCAACACATGCCTCTACCAGACAGCCGACACAGGCTGCTTCAACAATTTCTCATAGCAGCTGTGCTTTGTCACTGTACAATATGGAAGATGTTGGCAAAATGCGGAGCACACTTGTAATCACGACCGTCATGCAACAGGTGCGAGCTAGCCTGACCACCCAGGAAACTGAACACTCTCGCAGGCACACGTTACTGCAGCACGCAGTGTGCCTAGCATACACATGATCGCAAGAAAGCGGGACAATATATACCATCAAAAAGTGACATGACACAAGTGTTTACAGGTTGTTCTTCCCCCCCACCCCCCCGTACTATACTGACTACTCCAGCTTCCCGAATGCTAGCCGTTGCTAGGCTTCTACCAAATGACTCAGCTTAAAGAGGCCCTCCCCGCAGCACTTTTCTAAGTATTCATTAAATGACCTCAGTATCTGATTTACTGCCCCATGAATCGACAGCCACAAACATTTTTAGGATTCGTCAAGTACAAGCAGAGTTACACAGATTTTTAGCACTTTCTCCTTTTATTATAGTGAGCATGCTAAAAGCTATGCAAAGGGTATGATAAGGGAGCAAGAAACTATGTCTATACATCAGTGTATGTCATGGCCTTGACATATTTATTTTCTTCTTTGATGCACAACTCCCCGTGTGATCACAAGCGTGCTGGTGTCAACTCTAAGGGGGGTATGCACTTGACGTGATCCGCAAGGAGTGCTAGCAGGGGGGTTGCCATTTTAGAGGTCTGCACACTCACCACATGCTGTGTATCTGAGATCTGTACGGCAATTTTGATGATTAGAGATTCTGGAAGCTCTCCTGCACATAGATACACGGACAGCTAAATTTATGTTATACTCCAAATACAGTTTATGCCATTATTTCTAAAGATAAATAGTGAGCGATTTCTAGATGACTCTTAAAGTTAATTGCAAATTCCATGCCACATGCAGGGTTTGCACAGCCCCTTGAAATCCTTAAATATCCTTGATATCGACAATATAAGTTCAAGGGCCCTGGCAACTCCTTGAATACTCATGAACTTTTGTTATCCCTGAAAATGCCATAAAATTTGTCCAACTATAGGAACTTAAGGGTGTATCACTATAATTCACACCCATTTCAAGGTCCCTTTCACTTACGAATGACTATTAAAACTAGCTGCATTGATTAATGGCATCAGGTAGTTTCGGTTTTAAATCACGCAGCCGTTACGATGTCTGGCAACTAATATCAACTGGAAATTGGATCTAATCCAAGGCATATCGCTCGGTCGGTTACAGTCCCTAAGTCTAGCTAGTCTGTCATCTCTGCGCCGTCTCGAGCCAGCCCGGGTCCGCGGCATTAATGCATGCGGAGGCGGCGCTGCGATGCATTGAAGCAAGTGCCGCGGATACAGCGCAGGTGGAATCGGGTGTGCATCGTGTCTTTCCTTTTAATATTTTGCTCCCGCATGAAAGACTCATTTCCGCACTGTTCGCGTGGGCAGCAACTGGTACGTGCAGGATGTGATCTCAGCTGCGACAGGACAAAAGGGGAGACGTGCATCATGTCTCACCTAATGCTGCCCTAAGCTATTGGTCCACCCACTTTCCGGCGTGATTTCGTAGTGCAGCACACAAAGCGGCTGACAACGGCAGGCACTACTGCCCGTGCTACCGCGGCACTCGTGCTTGGCACACTAGTGAGTAGTCCTTTGTTCGTCGGGCTCGTGTGCACCATTTATCGTAGTGTGTTGTGTTCGCTTTGAAAGGTGCCAGGCGGGAAGTACAGGTTTCAACCTGCGTGGCTGCATCATACAGAATATCGTAACTGGGTGCGACCGGAACCACGTGATCCTTATCCAGCCTAGTACGCAAAATTTCAGAAGACGGTCGACATTGCAATGATGTGAGAATTGGGATGCCCCAAATGTCAGCTGGAGCTGAAATCTTTTTTTTAACAATTTGACTTACCACAAGCGTCTTTCTGAGTACAAGATAAATATTGCGTGTCCACGTTATATTCAGTTCTGTCAAGAAAAACGGCATGGATTAAAAAAAAACTACGAAAAGACCGTGAATGTTTTGATGTTCTTTTCGTGTGCCTTATGAAGCGTGACCTGTCATTTCAACCTTATGGGAATTGCTGAAGGTCGTTCTCTTGCTTAGCTAAGAACAGGCCTTAGCATAATGAGGTTTCAGTATGACAAGCTCATCATGGTTGAAGATATGGCAGAGATCCCTTATGAACGAGTCATTTGGGAGGCCGTGAAAACCCACGATGGGCTGCTTAACGTTCCACTGTCGAAGGAAGTAAAATCATCAGTGTGTCAAGATACGCATACACATGTGTTATACATGAAAGAACAGAAGAAGAAAGTTGTGATACAGCGGTTACCTTGAAAAAAAAGAAAAAAAGAACTCGAGCTTGAGCTACACAGCATACAAGAGAAGAAGACAAAGCAAAAAATCTAAAGTGACTGCTGGGATCAGTAGATCAATTTTTGAAAGACGCCAAAGCAAAAAAAAAAAATTCACAGCATGTCTGCGGAGTGAATAATGATGAGTGGGCCAAAACTTCTGTCTTTCCGAGCATATGTATGTCTGTCTGCCCGTCAACTATACTAAATCGTCAAATGAAAACCACCAACACCATGTAGCGATATTTCCAAGGATAGATGGATGGATGGATGGATGGATGTGGCTGTACCCTTTAGATCGGGCGGCGGCTAACGCCACCTAGCCGTAATACTTAGTGAACTAACCATTAGATTTATCTTTTTTTTTCCCCTTTAAATAGTGAGTTTTGAGGATTCGTACTTTGCAGTGAAGGGTTTAATTTTCACTCGTGCCTTGACTTTAGCCACCAATCAGATAACCTCCTTCTAGTTAGGTCTACCCGCTTAAAGTCTATTTTGCCCTCCCGGTCCCTAAACCCCAGTGCTTTGAAAAACTCTGCGCCATCATCCTGAACTATAGGGTGAAGCCCTTTACAGAACATTATAAAGTGTTCAGCGGTTTCTTCTTCCTCTCTACACGCACTGCATACTGTGTCTACCCCTTCATATTTCGCCCGGTATGTCTTGGTTCGCAATACTCCCGTCCAGGCCTCAAACAGTATAGAACTACCCCGAGTATTATCATAGATCCTTTGCTTGGCAATTTCCGGCTTAAAAGTTCGATAGATCTCTAGTGCGAACTTCTTAATCATGCCGATTCTCCACATGTCAGTCTCCGTTTCCTTCAATTTCTTCTTAACCGATAGTTCTTTTTCGTTTGTCCACCTGCTGTTTTCTAAGTATTTACCAGTCAATTTCCTGGTTCACTTCCTTCATTTTGTATCGACATTCTTCATGTACAAGTAGCTGAATACCTTCCTAGCCCAACGCTCCTCCCCCATTTCTCTCAATCACTTCTCAAATTTTATCTTGCTGCTAGCTTCTCTGCCCTCAAATGATGTCCATCCCATATCACCTTGTACATCCTGATTTGGTGTATTCCTGTGAGCTCCTAAAGCAAGCCTACCTATTCCACTTTGCTTAATTTCTAATCTTGCTTGAACTTCTGATATCATGCACAAGACCGCATTGCCGAACATCAACCCAGGAACCATGACCCCTTTCCATATTCCTCTCACAACATCATACCTATTGTAATTTTACAGTGCCTTATTTTTTCCAAGGACATATACACACAGCGACATCTATTGAGCAATTCATAAACTAGAAGTGGCTACATACTACCAGTACTACTACTACAGAGGAGGAAACGACCCACAGCCTAAGATCTTCGCTTTTAAAAAATGACACGGCATGTCTTGTTAAGGCCAACTGGTTTTGCCGAACAGGTAAAAAAAAATAGGCAGAGATAGCTGCTCTTGAAAGAAGATATCAGTGCGAAAGCAGAGCTCCCTTTTCAAGTCATGTGCAAAAATAAAATTAACACTCCTTGAATTTTTTCCTTTTTGCATCTTTGAAACCCTTGAAAAGTCCTTGAATATACAGCGAAATATTGTGTGCGAACCCTGCACATGTGTGCTATAATGTAAGGCCCACATGTTCACAGGAGCCTCAACTACTAATTGGCAGCATTTTCTGGCCATGTTCAAAAAGCATTGCAGTGCCCCTTTAAATGTACAATTATTTTTAATGTGTGTGTCTCTGTTGAGGCATTCTCAATGCATGGAAGAAAACTCCAGATTGGCTACCTTCAAACCACTTTGGATCCTCTTCCTTACTGTCAGCCAGCAGCAGATCTTGAGGAGCCTCAAGCGATTGAATATGCCCGAGCATCTTGCTGACAAGCTCGTCTTTGACAGGGTCAAATATCTCGTTGAGTTTCTGTGAGCCAGATGCAAGCAACCTCCCAATGTTGGCAATCATCTGCTGTGCTTTCACTTGAGTGTCTGTAAATTGGCCGGTAAGATACCATAAACTACTAGCAAAGACAGGGGAATAAGGCATGTTGATTAGTTAATAATGCCGTGCCATTATTAATGAAATGCTTATTAGATTATGTAAAACTTGAACACTTCAGCATTGATAAAGATAATAAAATGAGGGGTAAGTTAATGCAATGCAAAACATACATGTTTTTGTAGCAAAACAGTACAAAGCTTTCTTTCTTGGTGCAAGCAGTAAATATATATATCACATCAACATGCAAAACTGCTTTAGCGACTTTAGTAAGACTTTTTAATGTGTCTACACTCTTCCATGCAACTGTAAACATTTGAGAAGTGAGGAAAAAACTCGATGAATCAAAACTTGGCACAGATGTTTCAGAAACGCTGCATGACTGTGATATTACCAAATTAAAGCAGTCATGCAAGACGTACACTTTATCTGTTCAGATGCCTTCAAGATGACCAAAACTGTGTAATCGCCACAAGTAGCAAGGTACTCGTCGTCAATTTCGGTTCCATCCTCCAGAACAAGCCTGCAGTCTGTCTTTGGTACCTAAAATGAACCAATTATGCAAACGGAAGGTTTCGTAGTTCACATATCACACCCAGCATTGGTGGAGTTTTCACATTGTCTAATAATAAACTAGCATTTATATACCCACACTTCGTTGATGCTGAAATGTAAATCACTCTACCAGATACATTTTTGTGAAAACATTGTTAGCTAAAGAGAGAAATTTCTGCAGCGCTTAAGGCGGCACATCTGTAGTCAGTATTGCAGCTGTGACGGTGTGATACAGCATGCTCTTTTAGTGCGTGTCGTACTGGGTTCGATTCCCAGTGCCGCGGAGCACACACTAATGGGGATACAGTTCAGTTACTGTATATGGCTTCTTTACTGTTCCTGAAGGCGCCCATACACTGGTAACTTCAAGGTCATGGTACCCCGAACTGACTCGCGGAGGTTTGGATATTAGTTTGAGAAGATGGCCTTTCCTTTACAGCACACTTACCGTCTTTCACTATCCATTTCCTCGACGCTACGCCTAAGCGTATTCGCTGGCCTCAAACTAAATCTAAGCGTATTCGCTGGCCTCAAAACGAAGAGCATGAACAATTTTTTAAATAATGAAAATCAGAGGCGAACTTCAGCGACACTGACGGAGCGGCTTCTTAGCTCCACGCGGAAAACTTTGTCTGTTTTGCCCAATTAGGCAGAACTACGGGTGTTATATTACAATGCCATACGATGCACTTTCTATCGCCATCTAACCCGGTCGCAGTCGAACGTCTGGGGTGTTGATTTGTTCCCTTCTGCAGCCTGATCAAACTAATCAATCGCGATAGATATATTAGATTCAGATCACAATAGGGACCAATGGCGATCGGAACAGCGACATTACTCGGGCACCTTTCATCTCCCAGAGAGTTTTGAATTATTCGACCCCACTTGACCTCCTTTTATGCAACTTGCGCTGTTAAGCCCTTAAGAAAACTCGATAACCGTAAGGCTTAATCACGATCGAAAGCGCACCGTGTGACAACACGCGTTTCATACTTGAAGCAACAACATCCGGAGTTGTTGCGGCCAGGCAGGGTCGACAACAGGTTCTCAAGAGACAGCCTGATTCAGTGGAGTTTATGATTAACTTACCTCGAAAAGTTTGCAGCCGCTTGCCAAAAGGTCTTCGCACGTTGATCCCGTCACTAGCTTCCTCTGTCCCACGAAATTGCTGACGATGTAAGGTCTGGGATCGGACTTGACGCGCCCCTGTTTACACTCGACGTGCTGGGCACCGTTAACTTTTCGAGCCTGACGAACAACACCGCCAGTCATGCCTCAGCCTTTCATTGCCCACTGTTTGAGTTCACACACGCAAGCAGTCCAAGTTCAGAACAACATAAACAAGTTTTTTTGTTTTGTTTTTTACAAGTACACAAAACTTGACACTGACACATGCAGCGAAAGGTCAACAGCTGCCTGGTGATGTTTTCGTCACGTGACAGTGCCAAGTTGTTTTTATTCTGTAAAAATTTGTTGTTGGTCCTGCTTGCTGTAAAATAAAAACGATGTGGTTATGTAGATACATAAAATAACTTTATTGAGCAGTTTGTGATCAGCATTGATCAGCTTTGTGTCGCAGATGACGCTACTTACTCTTCTGTTGCTATGACAACCGGTGTTTGTTTACAAACAGTATATGGGGGTTTCGTTATTCGGCTTTTGCAAAGAACGTTTATTGCTACATACCTCGTGGCTAAAGAAAATGAGTTATAGGAACGAGCGTGAGGAGTTAAGTAAGGCAATCGCGAGGCACCTTTCCATCGACATCGAACAACTCATAACGCAAAGCGACGTAAAGACCGTCGAGCACATCGTCTCGCAAGTTGGACGCACGGAGAGATGGCGCAAGTTCCAAAAATCCTACCTGCTTCGCATGGACCCGAACCAAAGCGACGAGGGAAAAGACTTTATCGCGCAGGGCCGCCGTGAGTCCGCGGGCACGTCGAAGGAAGGGATCACACGACGAGACAGCACAACTTCCATAGCGAGCATACTGAGCGAGAGTTCCTTGATGGGAGGTGACGTCGCCTTGTCTACCGATCACATTCGCGAAGTGTGCAACCTCATACGGTCCCCATCGCCGTCCTCCAAGCTTCATGCAATTAACATTCTAAACAACGTTTCAAACTACGACAACCTAGTCGCATGCGACGAGTGGCCCGTGCTCGACGAACGGATCAGGTCTCTTCTGCTGCATCCTTCGACAGTGATCAAGCGCGAAACGTTGCGTCTGTTCTGGACAATGATGTCATCCGGAGGCGTAGTGTTCGAGCGCACTTACACGAGCCTACTGCAAGCTGCGAAGGACCAGGTTTGCAAGCGCGGCGCGCCCGCTACGTCACAAAAGGGCAACTCCGCCACAGCCCCCGTAGACGTCGTGGAGTTGCTGAACGTGTACCACAGAAACTTACCGCGACAGTGGCTGAGATTCCCGCGCAAGGCCCTCAGGCACGTCGTAGAGCAGACACTCGCGCTCATGGACGATGGCATTTACGAGAACTTTTCTCGCGTCTGGAAATCATTTGCGAAAGCAGACACCCAAGCGGCGTGGCTGGGCAACTGGTTGCACGGGGCCGAGAGTCGAGCCGTGGTCATTGAGTGCCTCGCGGACCACGCGAACATTCTGCTGCACGCCGTGCAACTGGTCAGCAATTACAAGAAGTTTCCCGACTTGTGCCAGCGCAACACAGCGAGCCACGTTTACGCGGCTTGCGTCCTCTTGCGCGTCCTCACGTACAAGGCAGGCAGGGATCTCTTCGACTCGCTCAGTTCTGGCGGGAAACCCGGAAAAAACCTGGTTCGACGTTTTCTTAAAGGTCGTGCTTTTCGCCAAAGTGCTGTGGGGCTCCAAGTATGAAAAGTTTTCACTACTACTTAACGTCATGACTAGAGTGTTGTCATTAATTAGCAGCCTCAACGAAAACCCGATACACCCTCATCAAGCTGAGACACTCATCAGCAGTCTGGTAGACTCAAGCAAAAGTAGCCCGAATGGCCAGTGTAGTACGCACATACTGTCTGAATGCCTAGATGCAATATGCTCTTCATCATCCGGCTTGAACCTCATCACAAACTGCATGTACAAAGCTTGCAAAGTGCCTCAGATAATACTGTCCTCAACGAAGCGAGCTATAGAGAGACAAAACGAGCACGGGCTATGCACTCGGTGCGTGTCCAATTTCCTGAGGGCGAGCGGCAGGATTGTCCAAGATCCGGGATACCTCCTGTCCGGGGGTTGTGCGGGCGTCGTCAGGCTTCTGTCGTGTGCGTCGGAGCTTGTGGCCGTGGCAGATGACGAGCTGAAAAGAAGTTTGACGGGTTTTGTGAAAGCACTACTCACTACCAGTTTAGGAACGGCTTTGCTATGCGTCGGAACCGTTCCCTGAAGCATATGAGAAGATTGTGCTAGACATCACGGATGTGTCTGAGAAAGTGAAGTACTGCACGCTGCACATGCCTTCTCACTACTCCCTTGATGATTTGGTACTCTGTGCAAGCCAGTGCATATGGAGCTCAAAGTGTGAACTAAGGTCAAGTCCTGAAAGGGTTCAGGAACAGCTGCTGCACATGATGTCTCCATTCAGGCAGTGCAAAAAACTGCTTGGAAAAAATGCTCAAGACTCTGCGGGAAGCCTGTGGAATGCAGTCATTCTCGTCGCCTCAGAGCACTGCCTCTCAGAGGAACAATTAGTGGTAGCCCTAAGTGTGCTTAAAAGTCTTGTATGTTGCCTTAAGACTTACTTGTTTCTTGACTCCAGATATTCAGTGTGTCAGAGTATACAAGAACTAAATGCTGATTTTTGCAACGATGAAGGCAAGCCCATTTTGTGTGAAGTGACACTTAAAGCTAATGAAGTCGAAGAAAGAATTAAGTCATTCAGTAGGAGCAAGGCTCTAGCACTGCCACAGACATCACAAGCATTTACGGGTCGTAAGAAAGCTCGCATTATTGGGTTGAGGTACACGAGGAACATGAAGGAAGATTTCGAAGCTCTGTTGTTGGATAACGATATATCAGCTGCCAGGTTCTCTGACATAATTGACTTTGAGGACAGCGACAAGGAAGACATCCTTCAATTGGTTAGATCGCTCACGTCTGAACAGAAACATGGTATTCAGCTGACGGTCGAGTGCGGACTCCATCTCGGACTGTTGTCATGTGACAGTGAAGACCACGCGAAGAACCTCGAGAAGCTCATTCATAATGGACGTCACTTTTATGGTTCCTCGTGCTCAAAGGACAGCTGCGACTTTCTGCTGGCAACCGTGTTTTTATTACTGAGGGGGAACGTGGTGAAGTCTTCGCAACTCCACAAGTTCTTATGTGACAGGGACTGCTACGCTCTCTACTTTCACGACATGGACGGTATCTGTGACACCTTGGTGTGTGCCTCCTTTCGCCAGTTGTTCGTGGTAATTCTCAGGGACCAACTGCCAAGACTCTACCACGCATTCAAAATGTACAGCTACGAGCCCAGCAACGTTCTCAAGCACTGGATAGGACAGTTCTTTTGGGGATGCCTCTCCTTTGACGAAATTGCGGCAATACTGCTGATGGTGATAAGCCTGGGAGCAGAAACACTTCTCTATGTCTGTCTCTCCATGTTAAAACACATCGAAGAACAGGCATTGCAAGCTGCTAACGAATTTCGCTTCATTGCCATGCTTAGAGAAGCGGAAATGCATGACTTCAAGCTGGTATCTTATGTTGACTATATCAACTCCTTGGTTGAGCAGTATGAAAGTATGGTACAAAAAGGTTTACACATGTATGCCCACTAGGTGCCATGCATAGGGGCCACCTTTACTACAGCTTTTTTTAGTATCTCAGTTTTTCCCAGCTCATTGTGCCTTTTTTTTTTCTTCTCATTGTACATGCTGTTTTTGACACCTTTTTGTAAACCTAGTTACACATCATGACCTTCCAATTCCACTCTATTTCCCATATACAATACACTACAAAAAATACCCACAAACTATCTGTAGCTTTAGCCAAATGATAAAAGTGAATACAACATAAATATACATTTGATGTTCTGACATAGGTGTAGACATACCATTAAGAAAGGAAATGTTGGAAATGTAAGATTTCTCAGCATATTATCTTTGCAAATTTTTCTTTATAATACAAATATGAATGAACATTCACCCCTGAAAAAAAAAAAAAAACTGGGCCTGCTTCGCTATGCAAAAAGGTTCAGCTAATATCTGTGCTGCGAAAAATGGTTTGAAAGTGAACAGATGCCAAATTTTCTAGGTATTGTTTTCATGCTGGGAGAAGCTGCAATTAAGATAGAAAAGCTTTAGATGCAACAGCAAACATTGTGCCTGCCTCTTGACAGTAAGTCATGTTTCATATTCAGCCACATCTTGAATCACTGCCATCACTACAATAACTCTACGAGCATGTATTCTTACGAACAATAAATAAATGGTTACATGGGTGTTGTACTCGTGAAAGTCAAATTCTCATATTCATTATTGCTTTAGTACTATAAGGCCAACTATACCTAGCTAAGGCATACCAAGTGGAAAAACAAGTGGTAAGAACACCAGAAAAGAAATGCACGTGGAAAACACTGGAAAAAAATAGGAAGCATTCATTGAAAAAAAAAAAAAAACACCTGGGCTGTATGGCCTAGACCACAGTCTGCTCGGTGGTAAAGAGTCCTGCGACTTTTTTATGGTTCCCGACACATGTGAATTCTCTTAGGAGATCACTATGCTCTCATCGGAGAGATGTGGCACCCGAAAGAGAGTTAGGGCGTCTTTTCAAAGAGTCGTATACGTGACAAGCCAGGGCTCACTGAGAGAAGTAACACGTATTTGTCATTCTTAGAATGAATAAGTATTCTTTTGGTCTTTCTAAAGGCAACTGAGATCTGTAATGGTATAATAAAGGCTTTTCTGCGTGAGCATGTATCATTTGCCTTCTTTTGCTTGATTTGGAAGATGTCGTTATGAATTGTCTTTCAATACTTATTTTACTTTTTATGCTGCTGTTCGATTTTCGAGCCTCACGCTAACCCAATATCCCCTCACTACAGCTGATATTACGGTGGTAGATTTTACTGTTTCGTTATAAAAAAGAATAAATGTAACTGAAAGGAAGCATAACCAACCAAAGGTCGTATTTTGTTCGCTATAAGCAATGATTCACTATAACAACGCTTGTTATTATCAAACTGTATTCACTCGAAGTAAGGATGATGCACATGTGAGGCGTTGCAGCTGCAAGTAGAAAGCTAGGACGTTCTTTGTAAATACTCGTACTTACCTTTTCATTTGCTCAACCTTGCGTTAATGTTGGTCCTTGGTGCAGAGTATCTGGGCAAAAACAGAAACGCTTATAGCACTGCTATTTAGATGGTGACACGAGTTGGAAAAGGATTATCGTCCTCACCTTCTGTCTCACTTTCAGTGCACAGAGGGCCGGACAGTCCGAAAGGACAGCTGCACTGACCATTCGCGGGATTGCATTTCGATCCGCGAGGACATTTGCACAGTAGGCTGCAGCCCGGACCGTAAAATTTATCCGAGCAGACTGTAAGAAATTACGAAACGGAGCTATAGTAAGCGGAAGGAAGGAGAATATAGGCACTTTTTTTTTACGCCTTTGTATTGCAGCTTTGTAAGGGTAAAACTGACAGTTTCGCCGCAAGGGAGCAGCAATTAATGCGATAACAATGAACTGGAATGTTATACGAGGTAAGGCAACCAGTTAAGGGGGCCCTGCCACACTTTTCCAAGCCAAGATATAATGAACTAGATATCGGAGTTTATTGCTTCACGTATCGACTGCCGCAAAAAGTTTTAAAGCCAGGGAAGAACGAGGGAAGTTACGGGTATTTGCCGCATTCTCTAAACGCTTTCTCTCAACTTTGGTTCCAGCGAGCGTGCTAATAGCTGCTCGGCTAAGGGCGAGAGGGGAACGACAAGAGGGCAATAGGCTGATTTCTTAGGTCAGCACGCATCATATGACCTTACGTTCTTTCTATTCTTGGTTTGTTTGAAAGTTGCGCGCTGCTAACTTGCTCGCGTCGCAGGCACGTCGCGGCACACAGCGGCGGCCGCGACATCTACGCAGCTCACGATGTTCAACTCAGCCAACGGCCATGTATATTGGGTACGTGACGCAGTTGGTTTTCGGTATGCGGCATAATTTGTCGAGAGAAGAGCGACTGATTGCTATCTGACTTCGAAATTTTATTGTCAATTGCCTGCCGCGTGCTGCGATAACTATGCACCTCACGATGTTTAAATTAACTAATGGCCGTGTATTTTCGGTATTTGACGTAGACTTAGTTGGTTTTGGGCATATTGGATAATGTGTTGAGAGAAGAGAGAGCAATTTATACCAGACCTCAAAACTTAATTGTAAATTTCCGGCCGCGGCGTGCTGGGCCGTAATGTCAATTCGATCACATGTGTTTTCAGGAACCTGGACTACCGGTCTGGTCGGCAGCATTACCTGGCCATTTTCAAAATGTGTTGCAGGGTCCCCCTTTGACTCCTTTACGATCCGATCTGGCGTACGTAACTCTACAAGTACGCTGCGCGTAAGGGAATGGCCACCTCAGGATTCGAAGGAGTTTTCTTGCTGTCTTAATGTGAGAGCATGGCACGTGCAATGCCAGAAGCCCTCTACTGGCGTCTGTCGGGATAGCACGCACAATTGCGGCCTTGTAATAACCAAAAGTCTACGGCTGCTGCCCGAGTGACGCAGCCCTGTATCTCCATGTAAAATATATACGCCTGCAACTTGCCTTTCTCGCAGTGACGACCAACTCGCCCAGGGGGACACCGGCATTTCCCCGTCACGCCGTCGCAGCCGTGGCCACTGCAAGAGCACCGACGCGCACAGTGCTTGCCGTACCAGCCCTGATCGCACGCTGAAAGAGACGGAGATTTGAGTTCGCTTGCGCCTGATCGGCATGCTTTACTATACAGGCGCGTACGAAATAAAACCCCTGGCACGCGCATGCTCATAAGCGAATAGATTGCGTCAAACGTGGTTCAAGAAATCGTCGAATTACGCTCGCTCAGTAAATATCAATGCACGCGAGTTGAAGCGTGTACTTATGTTAGTTCGAATACGTTATTGTCTCGACGTGGTTCATTTCTCTTAATCGTGTTCGCACCCAAACGCACTACGCGCGCCATCGAAGAACCTCACCAACACGTGCGAATCACGCATGCGCCGTCAATGCCGTGACCGCACGGCACCGTTGACGGCGAGGACGTGCCTATATAGTTCCCGCATAATTGTTATTCGTAATAAAGTACTAGCTTCGGACATCCTAATTATGTAATGCAAAAATACTCGGAACGCCAACAGAACTTGGCAGACACACGGCTGCAGTGTTAATCAAACCTAAAGCAAGCATGCGTACTCTGTTCCTTACACTTCGGCGTGTTTTTGCTTTATGTTACAGCACACAATGTCCCAAACAAACGCCAACCACACTGCCATGTCATAACGTGAGAGCGTTGAGAGCTTGTCTGGCAAAAATTACAGCGTTGGCGTCGTTGGTTACGAGCGAAAAATCACGATCTTGTCTGTGACCGTAAAATCGAGAATGATGCAAATGAAATATGTAATGAAAAATTTCTGTTCCAGTCAGAATTGAACACAGGCAGTCTGCGTGGCAAGCAGACCGTTCTCGTCTGGGCGGCCATTTTAACAGCGCCCAATCAAACCCGTAACAGTGAAAATACAATAGAGTGCGGGTTGTTTATCTCACGACCTTATCTGGCGCTACCAGCTCCTCCTTTTAATGACAACCAGCTTGTTAACTGCTTGTTACCTCTCGAATTAACGCTTTTGTTGTTATGTGCGTACCGTACTCTTAAAATATGTGCAACTTCAGCTGAACGCCGCAAAGGCTCATCGAACGTCGGAGCTGGTCGCATTAGCTTTATCTCGGCCATTATCGAGCATGCCAGAACTAAGGCGGGACACAGCTTCTCCAGAATTGTTATCAGCTGGTCCTTCTCTCCACAGCTGCTCCGCACCCGCCATAGCATCGCCTTTGCTCTCCTCCCTACTCAGAGGCACTGCGCCGTGCTCCCGACCGGGCTGCAGAAATTAAGTGCCTATCTTCTAAGTGCCTATCTTCTAACCACTACCACCACCACCCTGCCCATGTCGCTACGCTGTCTCTATATACCAGGTTCAGCTCGCTACACTAGGCTTCCTTCTCCCCCGCTTAGCTTTACCCATGCTTCCTCTAGTGAGGCTTCGCTCTGGCAGATGAATTAAGAAAGTGCGGATGACGGGTCCTAAGGGATCCACGTTGGTCACTAAAACGTTCTGCTGTTAGAAACTAAACGACCGCCAGATCCCTACGCTCACTTACCTTGTTCACAAGATTCACCCAGAAAGCCGTCAGCGCAGCTGCACAGCCCTGTATTTGGGTCGCAGCGTTCTCCGTTTTGGCAGTGACAGTTCATCACGCAGTAATCCCCGAAAGTGCCCTTCGGGCATTCTGAAAAAAGGAGAAAAGAAAACCTTTAACGATTAGGATACGGTCTAATGCAGATTTTGAGCGCAGCTGTCTATGTGTTTGTATTTTGCGATAAGTTTTGCTTCGGTGGCGCGCACCTCTGGATTCGGGCGTCGGCGGCAGCTCGTTTACAAGCAGCGCACTTCCACCTGTCGTGTCGCTCTCATCGTTCACAAATAACTGGCAGAGACTATTTTGTATGTAGCAACACGGTTCACATCAAGAAGAGAATGCCGCGAGTAGCGTGACTGGCACGTACAATTTCGTGCAGCCCACTTCACATCAACTGCTGAAGACGGAGCGCAGCGCGACTGCCTCGTCAACCGGGATACCGTGAAAAGAAGCGCGTGGGCGCGTTTCACAACAGCCGACGCAGACAGGCCTCCGTTCATGTAGCGCTTTATTTCCACGCACCGTATCGGTGGAAGTCCTCGCCGAATACTTTCTTGATGACGTCATCAGCGACCGCACGACGGCGCGCACTAAAGTGGCGCCGCGGGTGGCCGGAGCGGAACCTGTCGCCTCGCCGCTGTCGTTCCCTCGTCCCCACGCTCTCTTTGCTCATCATCCGCTACGGTTCGTGTTCGCTCTCTCTCGTCCTCGTTCGCTCTATACGGTTACCACTACGCCAATGGCGCTCAACGCAGAAACGGACGCCTAAAGGCCTGACCACCCACACGCGTTACTGCGCGCCGGCATGTGGCTTTCTGACGTGACGTCGTGCCCTCTCCCTTTGGAGTGAGAAAGAGAAGGCGCCTATCTCCGCATAGCCGCGCGCCCTTTCTCTTAATAAGTAGAGGGTGTTGCACCGCGTCAAAAAGCAACGCGCTTGCGCGCGGTAATGCGTACCAGGCGCTGCGCCGTGCTCCCAACCGGGCTGCAGAAACTAGGCGCCTTGTCTTCTTCTAACGACTACCGCCACCTAATGCGTACGTGTGGTCAGGCCTTAAGATCTGTGCTCTAAAGAACATGGACGTGACCATACTTCACTTGGGTATCTGGTAGTGGCATTAGCACACTAGTGTTCGTGTGCCCTGGTGTTCCTTGGGTTAACATTGCAGTTCATCGCGCTGCCGAAGGAGATCCCACAGGCCATTTAAGGCGCGTGGCTTAAGAAAAAAAAAACGCCAAGTGCCACAGCGATCAAAGCTGCTCACAATATTTAAGTTTATTTTTAATTAATAATCCGGAAAGAAGAAGAGCAGGTACAACTAAAGTTTGGCCTGCAGAGAATCATTCCACCACACCTGACAGGAACTATCTCTCCTGTAAAGCTGTCTTCTTAACGCGCACACAAATTACAAGGCGAACCCAGCTTTCCGTACGCCACCAAAATGGTATTTGTATCATTACCATCGTGTGCCATATATGTTCCCGACGGCGCATGCACGCCGTCTAACGCGCATGTGTCTTCTTTACGTCCTATGTATTTTTTACGTCTCACACTCTAGAAGTTGTATTCGAAATCAGACCTTTCACGCTTGCTAACTTCCTTCTTTGAATCTGGAGCGATAGCCAGTTGCTGCTTTTTCTGAGGAAGTGTGTGTGTGTGTGTGGGGGGGGGGGGGGGTCGCTTTAGTACGTGTGAATATGTGCGCGTATATTTAAACTTCGAAAAACTAAAACTTTCGGCCGCCTCTCCAACACAGAATCCTCTCTCCCCTTGCTATGTCATTGTTATTTATTTATTTATTTATTTGTTTGTTTATTTATTTATGTTACTCTCAATCGCCGAAGCATTACAGAGGAGAGCGGGTTATAACAGGAAAAATACAAAACAACAAAACAAAATTTTCTATATATGAACAAGACTAAAGCAAAATAACAGCTCTCTTCAGTGAAACGGAACAAAAGTGAAACGTAGAAAAAAAGAAATCGAAATAAGAAAATCACGAAGAGAAAATAGCGAATGTGGGAAAGGTATACAATACTATCAAAAACTGTAAAATTAAAAAAAGTGACAAAAAAATAAAAAAGCTGCTGGAATACGGCGGCATCTTCACACGTGGAGACAGAAAGTCGTAGGGAGGGAAAATAGATGAGATGACTAGGGAAGGCTATCGGGAAGTAGGTGAGCTGATAAAGAATGACGAAAGAGGGAGTGATCAGAAATGGAAACGATGCCATCTAATAGACGCGATTGCAATCGTTTGATGTGACCGGCATGAAGAATGTGACCGGTTTATTCGATATCGTGACCAGGATGACTAAGGCCATGTGCCACAGTCATTTAGCACAACAGTGACAACGACAGAGGCGATAATAACTATCAAATTCATTTTCGAAATACGCGGGAATTCATCCAAACACACCTGCAGCATGAAACGTGCGGAAATACTGGTAAACAAGTTATCGACATACCGTAACGAGTAAGCATAACCTGAGCACTTATCATTCTATTCACAAAGATGCAAATACGGAGTTTGTGATATAACATTCGATAATATATATAATGCAACTTGATACAATATATTATAATATTGGGTTATACCTGCCCAATCCACGATATGATTAAGAGCCACACCGTAGAGGAGAGCTCCGAAAATTTCGACCATGTGGCGTTCTTTAATGTGCACTGACGAGTACACGGGCCTCAAACATTTAATCCCCATCGATATGAGACCGCGAAGCCGAAATTGAACCCGCGACCATCAGTTCAGCAGCTGAGCGCCGTAGCCTCTGTACCGCCGCGACGGACGCAAAGACAAAGTTGTGCATGTAATACACGGAGTAATTGTTTGAAACGTATACAGTTAGCGCAATAAGACGACAGGTCGCATACCTCTCGAGCAAGTTGGTCCCGTGAATCCCGGCTTGCACTTGCACCTTCCGGTCACGGAGTCGCAAGACGCGTTGTTTTGGCACTCGCATTTGAGAGAACAGCCTGGACCGTAGTCGCCATTGGAGCACTCTGTTGGAAACGATCGCACGTTTTTGATCTTAAGAACGCACTTTCTTTTCGGTGTTCGAAAATTACAAAACCGCGGCGTTGCGTGCAAAATGAACGGAGAAACAGCTTAGCTAGCACCACCTAGCTGAGGCATGGCAACAACCCAGAAGCAACCTAGTATTTCCATCTCCTAGCCCTATAGACGCAACCTAGCAGCAACCAGATAAGTGTTCAGAAACAAGGGTCCAGCTTTGTTTGAGCTTCGAAAGTTTATTTATTTATTTGAGTTCTGCAGATCAAATTGCTCGATTTAACAAATTACTATCTGTATTTACTTACATTTCAAATACTCTGTACGTACCATGGTGAATGTATATATTGTGTACCCTTCAAACAAGGTTCAAATTGTCGCACTGCCCTTTTTATCATGCATGTAACAAGCTGGCTTGACGTTAAGGTATCATTTGCAGCCGCCATACTTGTATGTCTCTACTGTACGCCTCATGAGGGATCTTTGGCTATCCACAAACGGTTTCGCTTTTCACCCAAGACTGCATACATCCCTATGACGCAGATGGGACTTCGAATTGAATTGATTTGATTGAAACACGTGACACCGTTTCACGTTGCCATTTACCGTTAGCGTTTCACTTGACGAGGACCGTGCTCACCCTTGTCGCACCTCGATCCTCGAAAGCCAGGCGAGCAGAGACACGCTCCCGTCTTCGAGTCGCAGTGACCGTGAGAACAGGAGCAGTTCAAGGAGCATCCGGGACCATACGTGCCGGGTGGGCACTCTGAAAGTGGCGCCAACAACCCAACTGTACACACTACAATTCGCTTTCACTCGCAAAAAAAAGTTATGCGAACAATATATAAAAAGCCAACGAACGTTCTGCTACGAAGTCTTCGGTATGCTTACGAAAAGGCTATGCCCGCATGACCTTAAGCGCTTCCTCTGTTACTGTAATACACTATCTGCAAACAACTATGTTTTACTTTACATCACAACACTCAATGAAATAGATTTATCAACCGTTTTTCTCTCTGCCGGCACGGTACAGGCAAAACCACTAGCCGTAACGTCACAAACGCTTCAAGATCTCTATATAAGATCCATGAAAACTGTAAATTAGTTTTATTTTTTTTAAATAACCGTCGAGTTCATTTTGTGGTTGTATGTAGTCGGGTTACAGTTGGTTGCTGGGCTTGGGGTTCACCAGCGTTGTCAGAGACGACATATTAAAAAATGGGCATAACGAAAACGGCAGGAGTCCTTTTTCATCCATTTCTCTTCCCGTGCAATTCTCCCACACGGCACTGGAATAGTACGTGTATCCTAGCGCTTTAACTTCTGCTTATAAGCGGAGTAGAATAGTATATGTATCCCAGCACTTTAACTTCCTCTTATAAGCGGAGTAGAATGTCAGACAACTCCCAGAAAACCTCGGGTTCACATCCCACCGTTTCCTGCATGCACAACGCCCGAAAAGCGTCATTGCGCTCCTTCAAGATGACCGGGCTTCACAGGGAGTCTGTGCGTCACCAGCTCGAGTTCGTGTCATGCGCGTTACCACAAACTGTTAATTTCCAGTTTTTTTCTCTTCTCTATCTTATCTATTATTCCTCATTTCCCTGAACCCACGTGCAGGGTATCCAAACGAGCTAGTGCTTGGTGGGGTGGTAGTGGTTAGAAGATGAGAAAAGGCACCTAATTTCTACAACACGGTCGGGAGCACGGCGCAGTGCCTAGTGCTTGGTTGTCCTCCCTGCTTATCTCCTTCGTTTCTACCTCTCTCCCTTTCTCATTTTCCCTCTCTCTTTCTCTGAAATATACCAGCATTTTCAATGCCATACATGCCTTTTTCGCAACGCCTTCCGGTGACGCCCGGAGGACATTGACAACTGCCGTCGGTGGAGTTGCAAACGCCGCCGTTCTGGCAGTTGCAGGAGCTGTTGCAGTACTTTCCAAAACTACCGTCAGGGCAATCTGAAAGAGTTGAAAACGAAAACGGCACATAGATTAACTGTGATCCCTGTCTAATTATAGTTATGTCCGGTCGCTAGAATACAATAAAGTTGAGGCACAGGGAACTTTTTCGTTCGGCGTTGTTACATTTGGTATTTGTGACAACTTTAATAAGTGAACCGCCTTCGGTCACTGGCTAATTTCGATGTACTGAACAAAAGAGAAGGCTCTCGTATCGCAATTTATGTAACGTTATTGCTTACAACTACTGACTATTTCTGGACCACTGAGTAGTTGTTAACACACCAGCATGTCGCGCAAACAATTTATGACGCAGCGATGTGGAGGTTGTGCAGCAACTACGCAACTATGCGAACGAGTACTGTCGAGCACTAACCTTCGTCACAGATGCTTCCGGTATACCCAGGGAAACAGTCGCATTTTCCGGATGCAAGGTCGCAATGTCCGTGTTTGCAGATGCACTTCCGTTTGCAGTCTGTTCCATATGAGCCAATGGGACAAGCTGGAAAGACGGAACATAAGTGACTAATACACGTCTGACAGCACTGCGAAGTGGTAATCAACGCCGATGCACACTTTGTTTTGTATAATGTTCGTGCACGCCCTTTTCGCATGTTCCGTTAGCTACGTAAGTTTAATTGTCACGGCAGTTTGAGCCTGTCGTTATGCAATTCTAAGAAAAGATGTTTCAACAACGCAATGCAGTGTTTCATTATTCCTTTTTTTTTTGCTTACTTATGCTGTTCAGAAACTTTCCTATTTGAAACACCATGCTGAAAGTGGTCAAGAACGACGCGGCTTGATGCATTTGATATGCGACATGACTGTATGTCACGGGGCTGAGAAATTGGGGTGGTGTTTAATGAACATGCAATGCGTCTGGAAACGAAAAAAAAACAAAACAAAGAATACAGGTTTCAGGCGCTGCAGCGAGATGCAACTGAGAACTGGCCAGTCTCTTTGACCCCACGGTTTCTCTTTGGATTAATGAAACATTTCTTTTTCTTCTCATTTCTCTAAAACAGGGCGAGAGAGTCATATACTCAGGGATAGATTCGCTTTCTCTTAACAGACTTGAGACAACACCATTGTTGCCATATATAGTTCTGCTCAGCATGACTTATACATTGTACGGCGGTTTCTCCGAGCCCCTGAGTCCTGCGGCGTTGTATACCTTCGTTGCACTGTTTTCCTTTGAAGCCGGGACGACACAGGCATTCCTCCGCTCTCGTGGTGACAGCGGGTCCCGGCGGGACAACTGCACCGCTGCGAACATTCCGGGGCCGTACCAGCCGTCGTTACACCCTGCGTGTGCGCCAGAATGAAATAACATTTGCTAGACCCATTAGTATTTCGTGTTACTAGCGTATGTCCAGATTAGTCTGAACAAACTCCGATCTTTCCCGGGACTAGCGGTGAAACATGGCTGGAACGCATTTGCTACGAAAATTGAGATCACACACAACCATTTCGGGCAGCGCTTTCATGACTGTAACCTCGGTTTTTACTGCATTACTGGCTTTTTATTTGAGTCAATTATTGCAATTTGTACGTAAATGCAATGTTAATATCATGTATAGTATAATTGAATGCCAGGCAGAAGTACAATACATCTCGACGAAAGTATGTGCACATAATTAAACACGTGCACGCACCGTCACAGTAGAGCATAACCTGTTAAATGATTTATCATCTTTTGAAGCCTTGAACTTCTGACTTTTGCTTTATTTGGACCTTGTTCACATGTAGCACTCGTGGTCCGAAAGGACTGCCTCATATTAAGGGGTCCTGCAACTCTTTCTTTAAGTAACCATGGAATTTATTACACTAAAGGAGCTTATTTCATCAGTGAATTCACCACCGCAGAAATTTTCAGAATCCGTACAGTACGAGCGGAATTAGAGATTTGTCGCACGATGCCATTGCATTTTCTCACCTTTCGTCCCGATTAAAGCGCATGGAAGCTCAACAAGGAAGGACGGGCTTGGGAAAAGAAAATACTGTCACGCGTGCCTTGTGACCTTGTGCACTTGTTCAGTGCGATCGCGCGTGCACGCGTGGACAAGTCGCGGCCTCCCGCGGCGGCCCCTGTAACGACCGAGCGCGCCACGCTCAAATCGACCAATGGCTGATACAATGGCTGTGACGAATGATTTTTGAGCGTGTGGCGTCATTTGTCGACAGAAGAGACAGCAATTTTTAGTTGATTTTGAGAATTCATTGTGAATTCCAAGCCGCATGCTGCCCTATAATATTTGGCTTGTAGGTTTCCGGGGGCATCGACTACCGATCGGCAGCGTTTACTGACCATGCCTAAAAAGTGTTCCAGGGCCCCTTTAATAAAGCTTGTGGTACATACACGGCGAACACCAATTAGCACTAGAAATGCCCGAGTTCTCGACTTGCACAGAGCGAACCATACCAGGTCTTTGGCATTTGCCTTGTATGTATGCTGCATGAACATCCACTTATTACCGATATGAATTTCCTATTTGCTCACATTTTAACATTCGAACGAACGTCATGGGTATAACGTATGGGTGTTAGCAAACAGGTGCTCACTGTGCTCGCAACTTGGCCCTTCTTTGCCCGGCTGGCAACGGCAGGCTCCCGTCACGTGGTCGCAGGGTTCCCAGGGCCTGCAGTTGCACCTGTGGGCACAGCCCTCCCCGAAGAAGCCTTCCGGGCAGACTGCGTTTACGATGACGTGAAAGTAACGAAACGAAAATTTTACGGCCATGGACATTGTACAACTGAGCGCACGTGGTGCCCAGTATAGTACAATTTGCCGCACGGAAGTTGTAAAGTTTACTCCTTAATGAACTTTGTTATAGAAGCACAGAATCTTAATTAAGGACCTTAATTAAAATATCAATTATATGTTAATGAACGCACGCGTATACTGTTATACGTTGCGTACCTAATTCACAGTGGCGACCCTGGAAACCCGGGCTGCAGTGACACGTGCCGTCGACCTGAGAACAGATGGCTCCGTGCTGGCAACGGCAGTGGGGCTTGAAAGCGATTGGGACAGCGATCAAAGCTTCCAACGTGGTCTCCGTCGGGGTATTTCCTCCCGCAAACAGCTCTTGAAAGGATGCTATATGCAGTAAAGGATTACACGTGTAGATTTTCATTATTTGTTATCCCTTAAAGACTCACTTCAGAGTACTACATATATGTGGTGGGGCAAAGCATCAATAGCAGCATGATAATTATTTACAACTTTAAAGAAAAAAATAGATATAGAACTACAGCGTACATGTCTGAATTCGAAAAGCGCAACATAAGAGTAGTACCAGTGCTATTGCAACAGAGCAGAACAACCTTGTTTATGATTGAAATGATCCTATACTCAATACGCGTGTCTTCTTTACGAAGTCATGGCCATCTCGGACAAACATTACCGAAATGTTTTGTTCCCGTATACTATACTTGCAATATTATTTCTCTTAAGAAGGGTGGGCAAGTTCCCTTACTAGATTAAAGGACTGATCGAGCAACGCGCTCTCAGTCAGCCTTGGCACTGATCTCGGAAGCCATACTTGAAGCCGATAAGCTCTCGCTATATATGGCGCGTTTTACCAAATACAACACTTCTCTGAAACACACACACACACACACACACACACACACACACACACACACACACACACACACACACACACACACACACACACACACACACACACACACACACACACACACACACACACACACACACACACACACACACACACACAGCATAACAAAGGGCAAGAATTTTAGAGTATACTCCACGGCTGACGTTTGATACCGCGGTCACGGCGACGCACGGAGGCCTTCAACCGCTGCATGATAAGAATGGTTGTGAGACTCGGAGTACCATAAACAAATTATTGTAATGTTAGGCAATTATTGAAAAAGGCAATTTCGCGCGCGCTATACCGACATACATCTGTAGACGGCTCCTGCCCTTGTGCGTTCGGTGCTCTTTCGCTTACTTCACGTTCAGGTCACTGACAGCACGGAAACCAGCGTACTGGAGGGGCCGTACTTCCTTACGTTAGCGGCATCGGATCCTAATGGAGTTAGCTGCTAGCCTCCAGAATCATAATCATTTATTTAACGGCAAACAAAGATACAAGTACATGATAAGAATATCATGCTAGCAAAACGGCCGCGAGCACACCATGAAGGGCCCAATATACTCCAGGTGTAGCGTTGACGCACGCGCACGCTGAGAACAGCGACGCTACGTTAAGCAACACGTGAACATAGTCTGACGCCCGGCGCGACCAGTGTCCGTCGGCGCGGCCCGGCGGCAACCGGCGCGAAATGCGACATGCTGCATTTCGTGCCGATGCATTACCCAGACAACACTGCGTCTCCCTTTTTTAGTGACGGAGGGACGCCGGACGCGCTGAAACGCGCATGCGTCAAAGCAAAGCAGCGCGCAGCGCGCCTGCGAGTGGCAGGACCGGCGCCTGGCGTGGCAACGCCGGCGTGACCATAGAGTTTCTTAAAATTAACTAGAGGGCACTCTGGCGCTGCGATCGTTCAGCGACGATGGGAATGATGGGTAGTACACACATTTGCCTAGTCTTTGTACTTGCGGGCGGCGAATCGTACTTGCGGCTTCGTTTATTGCTGTGTTTCGGTTGTGTTTTGAAATAAAGATTGAATGCTTTTGAACTTCGTGAGCCAATTTGCAAAGTAAGTCTAAAAAATAAAATAGTGAAGCGCAACCACTGAACATTTGCTAATACTTGTTTCGTAAGAAAACAGCTCCAAGCCACACGAACACACACGGAGCCAAAGGCAGGCCAGAAGTACGAATATTAGACAAATGTGTGTACTACCCATCATTCCCATGCTCGCTGAAGCGCCGTGCGTTGCAGCTCCCATAGACACTAGCGCCAGAGTTCCCTCTAGTAAGTATTGTGGGAAACTCTATGGGCGTGACGCGACGAAATGAACGCCGGCGAGCACGCGCACCGCGTCACGTCGAAATGTATTGGCGCCTTGACTGTGACATGTAGTCACGTTCTCACATGACACGCATCTCATGATTATCATGTTTACAGCAGTCATGTTACCTTCGTCATCCATTGGCGTCACGTAATACCGAATTTGGCATATGTGAAGCTAGCGAAACGGCCGCGAGCGCGCATCATGACTGTAGCATGTAGTCATGTTGTTACATGACACGCATCTCATGTTTATCTTGTTTGCACCAGTATCATAACTTCGTCATCCATTCACGTCCCGTAATACCAAATGTGGTATTAGTGAAGCTAGCGAAATGGCCGCCAGCGAATCATGAACGTGGCATGTAGTCATGGTGTTACATGACACGCATCTCATGATTATCATGTTCGCACCAGTCGCATACCTTCGTAATCCATTCACGTACGTAATACCAAATTTTGGTAATGGACTCTAGTGAAACGGCCGTGAGCGCAACATGAGCTGGGCATGTAGTCATGTTGTTAAATGACTCGCATGTCATGATTTTTATGTTAGGGTCTGTCGCTTGTGTTCGCCATGCAATCATGCCATAACATACCAGTTTTGCAACATGCCATGTGAACGAAACCACCGCAAGAGCTGCAGGACCATGAAATGTAAATCGTGACATTCATGACATACGTGTCATGATTTTCATGTTATGACTGGTGAAATATGTTCTTCATACAGTCATGTTATGCAATAACAAGTTTGATATCGATATCATTATCGAAACGGCCAGGAGAGCTCAAAGTCGTAGGCGGCTAAATAGATAGATAGAAGATAGATAGATAGATAGATAGATAGATAGATAGAATAGATAGATAGATAGATAGATAGATAGATAGATAGATAGATAGATAGATAGATAGATAGATAGATAGATAGATAGATAGATAGATAGATAGATAGATAGATAGATAGATAGATAGATAGATAGATAGATAGATACGCTCAAAGTCGCCGCAGTTCGCTAAGAAATGCTTCGCATTTAAAACAATCACAGTATACCCACGAAGTGTATGATGATGAGTGGGGCGAAACGTCTGTCTGTCTGTCTGTCTGTCTGTCTGTCTGTCTGTCTGTCTGTCTGTCTGTCTGTCTGTCTGTCTGTCTGTCTGTCTGTCTGTCTGTTTTTTTCTTTTTTGTCTGACATTGCCGGTTACACCTGACGCAGGACAAGGTTAAACTAAGAGTAGATTCGCCCCTAAATAAACCACAGTTGGCCTCAACCCGAACGAGGCAAAAAAATAATCAATGGATGACGTCCCCGTATGGTGTCATCACTATGTCATAGCTCACCAAAATGTGTAACCTTAAGACATTACTGTAACATGACGTCACGTGACGTCACATGATGACATGCTCACATCATAGTAGGCGGGCCAATCACGGATGCACCGCAAGACCAGGTGACGTGTAGAAAATTCAAATTATTTATGGCCGCAGTACAAAGCCGCGTTGGGTGCCGAAACCGTTCGTGACAATCAACTGAAAAAAAGAAGGCTCTCGCCTTCCAGTTGTCTTAGACAAATGCATGAGGGACCGTGTTACTTTTCATTACTCACCGGGCCTCAGAAAATCGTTTCAAGAATGACCCTTCCAAGACCACGGCGCCAGTTAAGTGTGTTGTTTTAGCTTTCTTTCCAACTTACTATATGTACATATACTCTCTCGCGAAGTAAGTGGTGTTGCTAATCACTCTTGATGGAAAGGAATTCAACAATGGCTCGACCAGCTCATATTAGGACACATATATGAGTAGTGTAGCCCTCTTACCTCGGCTGCATTCTCCGGACCGTTCGCAGTCCGCAGCAGGCAGCTTGCACTCTCCGGTGACGGAATCGCAGCTGGAGCAATTGCACCTGTGGGCACACTTGGCGCCCCACGTCCCCTTCGGGCAAGGGTGGTTGCACTTGCTTCCTGTGAACCCATCTTGGCACACACACTCCCCGCTCTGGATGCAAGGACGCAAGGCAATTAAGGTATTAGAGAAACAGGGGTGCAAACTGTCCAGGACGGGCGTTCTTTTTGATCGAGGTTGAGCAAGAAATTAAGCGGTGTTTCCCTAAACATGAAGTATTCAAGATGTACGAAACGTTATATGTCGGTCAGCGTGATGTTTGGGTTGTTGCAGTATCAATGAATACAACTACATAGGAGTATAGACATTTACAAGCTTATTTACATTTAGCACGTGAGGCGTGTTCTCTTACTCATATCGCGCGTGCGTTGTGTATTGCGTTCACTTCTGCTTCAGATTGTGGATGCTAGTGCCAAGTTGAGTTCAAATGGGTTTGCGTACGATGCTCACGGGTCGGAACGGGGCAACGTATAGGCTAGTAACGCACATAGTTTCGTTTCCACCATCTTTAGTTTGGGTCTTATCGGCGTAGTCTCAACTCGAACGTGTCGATCAGATTCGTCGTGACATGACGTTATTATCTCAGGCAGATTGCGTATACCAGACCATGGCCTCCGAGATGGCAGGCGCGCGGCGTGTTCCCGCCGTTTCGGAGGCCATGACCAGACGTCTCTTTAAAAAGTGATGTCAAGTTTGAGTGGGTGAGTACAATCTTTTTGCGCGATAACTGTGGGTGTTGTGGGTGTTGTGTGGGTGTTGATTTGTGGGTGTTGTGTGTTGGTCGAATCTGGCCTGTAGAAATGATTTTTTTTTCGGGGCATCAGGGCAGAGTGTCACTTGCTGCAGACTTTGATTTATTTAGAAAAACACCCATTTTCATTATTCATAACTTTGGTAAAACACCTCCTTCCGTAAGAATAGGGGGGGGGGGGGGGAAGTGAGCCCTTAGGCATCGTTCCCCTGGTGACGGGCTTAGGACGAGTCGAATGGTGTTTTGTATGGCTTCACAATATATGTGTCGACCAGCTCGCCATATAATCATATACGCATCAACACACTCGTGTATTGTACAAGGTAGACTATAGCTAAGGTTGATACCCCATTGGTATTTAAGCCAGTGAAACTAGAGCGGTTTTCAACTTCAGTATAAAAATTGCATGATGATACATGACATCTAAAAAAAACGGACAGCCTGCTCGAAATCGTGCAAAGCTTGGCACAGTGAAGTTGATCGATTCTGAAGTGTTTATGTCAACACCGGTCGCTGCTATGTTGTCGCTGGTTTCGCTAGGTTTTCATATGTTGTAAGTAAGTTTTTTATGTTTGTAAAGAAGATTTGCTTAAAATTTAACACCTTGACTGCGCGAAATTTTGCGCGACTAAGTGTGAATTTATCGAATTTTTCTAATGAAATATACGACAGTGGCAATGACAAAACCATTGTATACGTTGAATAAAAAGACGAAGACACCGACCACAACAGAAAAATAAAATAGAAAAGTCACAGCTTTGTCGCAAAAGCAAAGCGATGAATGCGATAGCAACAATATTGGAAGGTCACGCGCAGAATGGTAAGCAGATAGAAACGTGCCCCGCGTTTCTCACGCACAAATAACGCACGAAACGTACTCACAGGTACAGGTGAACGCGAATAATTGTCTCAGTTGCTGCTTCGCTGTGTCTGAAAAGCGCGCTCTTTTCGGAGACTGTGCAACAATTGCAGTGACCTTTGTGCGCCCGGTAAACTACAACGGAATTGCTACGGTGAAAGCTAAAGGCCAGCGAAAACGTACGATCCTCCCCGCCGCGAGATAAGGGAGCACGAGTGGGCGCTCAGGGGCTTTACATCCATCTTTCCTCTCTGCGGGGCAAAGAACGCGTCGGAAATGAGAGTGCGCGTCGCGCGCTCATTGCGCCATCTTGCTGGTAATGATAGTACCCCCCCTCCCGAGATGCCCGTCAGCAGCAGTAAGTGGTAGATATAAATAGCTAGCCGTTCAAACATTGAGGGACGTACTCCTCGATGGTTCAGTGGTTAACGCCTCGCACTCACGTTTCGGAGGTTCCAAGTTCGATTCTACGCGCTGGAGTCCTTTCCTGGATTTTTTTCTTTCTGGTGTTTTGATATATATAGATACTCATACATATACGGTGAGTAACGGCGACGCCGGTGGCAAAATTCAGCCGAGAGTGTCCATATAATTGCTATCGCAATAAAATGTAATAAAACGTTTCGGCCCCCAGAATGGGAGTCTTGTTTACATTGTCTTCGTCTTTTTATTCGATGATTCTTCCCGACCAGACACGCATTCATCGAAGCCTCGATTTCAATCATTGTATTCACACAAGGCGGAATAATCTAGCAGTCGTTATCTCCAACCCTTTCGCTGTCTTTAATCATACTACTCACGCAGTATTTCGTCGGAAAGATCTGCATCATGATCACATATACAGTGCTGCGCTTTGTGGCTCGAACTAAAACATCAGAATGCAGTTCACTCTAATTACCACAGGGTCGCACCGCAGAGAGTTGGCCTGGTCGCACTTGCATGCCCTGGCACAGCTGGGTCCGAAGGTGAAGGGTGTGCATGGGAGGTTGCAGAATCGGCCGTGGCTGGCGGGAGGACACTCGCAGTAGCCGAAACGTCGGTGACAACGGCCGCTCGGGCAGTCGTCGGGACACAGGCGCTCGCACCTGTCACCGAAACGTCCTGTGTATGCGCAACAAAAAAAAAAACAGGGAAAAAATGAAAGTGAAACGAACTACGTGCATAGTTAGCACGACAGAAAATTGAACGAGTAGGTTCCAATTCCTTGAAAAGGCGCAAAAAGACAACACAAAGAAAATAAGAAAAACAGGGCGGGTGAGACGCTACTGACAACCGAGAATTTTTTTTTTCTTTTTTTCTTTCAGGAAGCATATTTCCAAAACGCTCGTCCCAGAGAACGTTTGACAGCCGGTCATTCTGGCAGATCTCTCTCTCTCTTTTTTTTTTCGAGATCACATAAAAAATTTGATGGTTCCTGGAACTGATAGCCTATTTTGATTATGTTAATGCCAATTGATATGTGGAGTTTAACGTCCCAAAACCACCATATGATTATGAGAGACGCCGTAGTGGAGGGCTCCGGAAATTTCGACCACCTGGGGTTCTTTAACGTGCACCCAAATCCGAGTACAACATTTCCTCTTCCATCGGAAATGCAGCCGCCGCAACCGGGATTCGAACCCGCGACCTGCGGGTCAGCAGCCGAGTACCTTAGCCACTAGACCACCGGGCGCGGGGCTATGTTAATGACAAGTTGTCAGGTTGCATTCGTGGCGTATACCAGCTTCTAACCCACCTTGACAGACAGTAAGAAGGACTCTGGTTCTACTTCGAAGACAGACGATTGCTTCGAATACGGCATTGACGTTTCACTCAATTCACGGCAAAAAAAGAACAAAAAAACGCCACAGACAGCGCTGGCTGGGTGCAGAACAAAAAACCATTCGTACCGTAAGGACACACGTCGTGACAGCGGATGCTTGCCGTTTCCGTTGGGCGCACAGCTGCAGCGGCCTGTCTTGTGATTGCACAGTGCAGATGCGTTGCAGAGGCATTTCTCCTTGCAGTCAATGCCGAACATACCCTGCAAATTGCAATAACCGCTGTTGGTGACCAGTGCATACAGAACTCAAAACTATAATGCAGACTACACAGGCGCTGCTCATCGCATTCTTATCTACGTGGGCAGTCTGCAATCTCCTATAGCCCTGTGTTTTGTCTACGTGGGCTATCATGAATATATTACTACTCGGCCAATTTACTACTGCTATCAGACGAACTGAGCATAGCGTTGTAATGATGCATTGACGACATACTGTGGCACTGGCTTGCACGGCTACTCGCCCCCTCCCCCCTCTCCCCGATCAGGTGGTCGAAATTTCCGGAGCCCTCCACTATAGGTGTCTCTCATAAACAGTATGAGGGTGTTGGGACGTTAAACACCCCATATCAATGGGTGGTTACCCCCAGCGATTGCTAAAAACAGTACATTCTAAGTTTAAAGGCAGTGATGACTCTTACGTGTAACACGTAGCATAACGTGGCGGGAATGCGCGCTTTACCTGGGGACACTTGGCGTCGCAAAAATTTCCGACGTATCCTGGCTGACAGCGACATATTTTGGCGCCGGAATCACACGTGCCATGTTTGCATGCACGACACGAGTGCTCACACTTCTGACCGAACAGCCCCACCGGACATTCTGGAATGAGAAAGAGGGGGCGAAGAGGTAAACGAACGCGAAAGCTTGCAGCCCGAAAAGTCGTAATAAATGACAGCAGCCCGAAAAAGTCGTAAGAAGCCACGAGGGCTTTGACGTGCGAAAGGTTGCCAGATACTTACGAGTCAGTTTGCATGTCCTGCCGTCTTCGGCGAGTTGTAAGCCTACCGGACATGTACACCGAAAGGAACCATCCAAGTTTTGGCAGCGATGCTCACAACGGTCCGGCTGTTCTAGGCACTCGTCGATGTCTCCGTAGATGCGTGCGAATGAAATATTGTGAGGAAATAACAACAGAGAAATCGGAAGAAAAAGATACATCTTGCTCTCACTCTTCGTAAGTGCCCGAGAAGGAAAAAAAAAAAGCTAGAGATAGAGTTGTTCGACGGCTCGGCTTTTGTTCCACAGTGAAGGCACGTTAGCATTTAAGTCGTGCCAGCGAATACCCATATTGAAACTAACTGCCACATCCGCAGACGTCTGCTCTGACCAGCACAACTTTCTCAAAATACGCTGAGACGTGTCAAAAGGACCTTGTGTGCATTGTACACGCAAATGCATATATTGTAATGCTAGTTTTCACTCGAAAGCGGCGCTGGTCTTGGAATCCGTGCTAAGCAGACGGAATTCGACCATCGTTTGGTTTTCAATTTCGCAATTTTAAATGAGCTCTAAGTAAACAATAAAAGATGAGTTGGTTATTTGAACAGTACCAGGTACCAGTATGCAATTGGGATTTATCTTATAGGGAGTGTCCCCCTCTTCGGATCAACGTGGACGGATCGAATGGCTTAGCAGTATAAGTACTACGTGCGATAAAAACTTTGAACTAAATATGCAATCATATTTGATCAAATTCTCAAACGTGCAAAAAAACTGTCCGGTCTCATTGAGACCGGACAGTTTTCTTGCATGTTTGACCGGATGGATAGATAGATAGATAGATAGATAGATAGATAGATAGATAGATAGATAGATAGATAGATAGATAGATAGATAGATAGATAGATAGATGTGTAGATAGATAGATAGATAGATAGATAGATAGATAGATAGATAGATAGATAGATAGATAGATAGATAGATAGATAGATAGATAGATAGATAGATAGATAGATAGATAGATAGATAGATAGATAGATAGATAGATAGATAGATAGATAGATAGATAGATAGATAGATAGATAGATAGATAGATAGATAGATAGATAGATAGATAGATAGATAGATAGATAGATAGATAGATAGATTAGATAGATAGCTAGATAGATAGATAGATAGATAGATAGATAGATAGATAGATAGATAGATAGATAGATAGATAGATAGATAGATGAAAAAGCGCAGGGGACTACCTTCGCAAGACCTTTTGTCAGAGAGAAGTCTGTAGCCTTTGCGACAGGTGCACTCTGGTCCGAACAAAGTGAGGCTGACAGTTCTGTTCACAGCCAGCATTGTCGACGCCACAATCTTGTATTTCCTGTACTTCAATGCCTGCGGCAATAGCGACACCGATGGCCATATTTCGTGTAAGGAAGGGAGTGCCACGAATTCATTCACTACAAAATTTTACGAGAGCTTTTATCGTACATGGTTACATGGTCCTCGTTCACAGCCTCAAAACAGTAACTAAAAAAAAACCATGCAAGTATTGATTTCTCATTACTTTGTCATCGTTACTTTCGCTATCCCAGATTCGTTATCTACAGAGATATCAGTTTAACTATCGAATAATCTAATCACCTGGATACTATTGTGACATTTAGGATAACTTCCAACTGGGCATGTTGGTAATGGTTCATGATTAAACATGAGAAACTTGCACGAAGGCATTGAGGTCACGAATGGCGGCCCCTTTTTGTATTTCGACCAAATTGCCTCGATGAAAATTTCTGGAACTTAAGAAGTCTCTGTAGCTTCTTTATAACTCAATGAAACCCGTTTCTAGCAATACATGATTAGCATTCCCAAGCGATATAAATTAACCATCTGCACGGGTTGAGTGTATCGGTGCAATTTGTTTTAAGGGTAATTTATTCTACGACGGAAATTCTCCTATACTATTCAGTGTCGCTCTCAACTTGGCAGGCAACAAGCATCTATTTTCATTGGCAAAGCCGAGCAACCAGCGACAAGCAGCTCGTTACAATCAGAGCTTTCAACCCGAGAATGCAACGCGTGTCTGCGAACCTGCCAGCTGGCACTGAAATCCCCGTAGGAGCTCGCGCTGTGATGAGCTTTAACGAAAGCGACGAGTCAACGGCTTCAGTGTACAACGAGGCGCACGCGTCTGACGTCATGCTTACGGGAACAGGAAGCGCCGTCACTGGCGAGTCGGTAGCCAGGATGACAGGAGCAGCGGAACGAGCCGAAGGTGTTGACGCAGTCGTGGGTGCAGCGGTTCTCGGACAGGCACTCATCCACGTCTGCGAGAGCCGAACGCGGGCTTGTCAGAACGCTTCTTCATCGCTTTCGAAGGGACTAAAGTTTGATATACGTCACGAGAATGCAAGAGGAACACGTTGCAAGGGGTGGTTGGTTCGCTTTACGCAGCGCATCACACACAAAAAAAAAGGTCATTTAGTGCAGTCGAATGACGAGAGAAGGGGTCAAGATGGATCTGAGTGTTTGCGACATCCTTCACCACTTCCCTCAGTTGTTCACGCTCATAATTTTCGTGCACATAGAGAACTGAATGGGGCATAGGCGCACGCAATGGATAAACCAAGGCAAGCGAGAAGATGAAGGATGGGAAGGGTAGGCAATATTTGTCGTCTAACATTTATTCGATTACAAGCAGTCCATTGGAAAGTCATATATACGTTGTAATGGAAACGATTGGCCGGAACGTCGGATGTGTGTACAACTGCATTAGCTACCAGCTTAGGGAAGCGCACGACTGTATATCGTATTGTACAGCATTTTGGCTGAAATCGATGTTTCACTTGAAATTAATCAGGTAGCCTGAGCCAATAACTTTTTCTTTAATTTTTGAAGGAGAAATACTGCGAGAGAATATTGAAGGAAAAGGGGGGATTTTGTCGTCGTCGGATATATATATATATATATATATATAAGGAAAGAAGTGTATACCCAAGGGCTCGTTTTTCTGTGTTTTACACAATATTAATGAGATGTAGCAGACAATAATGCCAAGGAAAGTATAGGGAAAGATATTAGACCGAATTGTAATGTATATATAAAGAAAAGTGGGGGAAGAGATTACGTGGGCAGGAGCCGCACCTGCCCACGGCAAGTTATCTTTTCACCCACTTTTCTTCATATTTACATTACCATTCGGTCTAATATCTTCCCCTATACATTCCTTGGCATTATTGTCTGTTACATCTCATTAATATTGGGTAAAACACAGAAAAACGAGCCCTTGGGTATACACTTCTTTCCTTAATTCATTAACGAGGGTCTCATACTGGCAGACTTAGTGCCTTTAGGTTGTATACGAGGGACTATTGTTCAGCTGCCCACTCGTAATAAGTTCACGTGCCACATGACGCCAAATAGGCTCAAAAGAGTGTGCTACACTCGCCGCCATGGCTACTGGTGGCGCTGACTGACACTCCCACGTTTAATTCACATATAAACCCAATAAAGTGGTTGGGGGGGGGGGGGAATAGCTGCCGTGGTAGCTCAGTGGTGGAGCATCGAACGCGTCGTTCGGAGGTCGCCGGTTCGGATCCTGCCCACGGCAAGTTATCTTTTCACCCACTCGAACGCGTTATACGAAGGTCGTAGGTTCGATTCCTGCTCACAGCTGGTAATTTTTTCATCCACTTTTTTTTTCTTCTTTCTTCTTATTTACATTCCATTGGTTCTGATAACTTCCCCTGTACATTCCTTGGCATTACTCTGTTATATCTCATTCACACACATATATATATATATATATATATATATATATATATATATATACATATATATATATATATATATGTTTGTGTGTGTGTGTGTGTGTGTGTGTGTGTGTGTGTGTGTGTGTGTGTGTGTGTGTGTGTGTGTGTGTGTGCGTGTGTGCGTGCGTGCATGTTGATTACGACAATGAATCAAATCTGGAAGCTGATTTTGAAATACACAGTTTTCATTCCTCGGCAATATTTCGACTTATAGTGACCGCGTGGGGTGCCTCACGAAAACAAAACATAACAAAAAAACTGCTTGAGGCCAGCTCCACCTCTGCAGCTTACCCGAACAAAACGCGATTGTTTTCAATAGTTGAGAAAATAATGCAACGACTACTTAGCAAAGTCACAAAACTTTACGGCATGTGAAGCCGTTTTAGAGTCCTGGTCTGTTATGACCTCCCCACGCCCCGCCCCACCCCGCCTCTATACTCGGTGACAACTTTTCTTGGCATTGGAGCGAAAGCTACAAATCCAAATCGCGGGCATCATGTTGGCAGTGAATACAGTTCCACAAAGGCCCGCGTATTTTCACCGTGAAAAATAGAAGTTCCCCCATTATTTTCTACGTGGAGCGATTTGAGACAGGATGCAGCTCCCATCATTAAGATAGTCGTATTTACATTATTAATTCGTTGTGATTTCGCGTTTTTGAACTAGACGCTATACTATTACTAGACGCGCGCCGAAACGGATTACTTCGCGTAGTGCTACATGTGCCAAAGCTCCGCCTCCGTATAGCTTTCCATTCAGTGCCAAGAAAAGTTGTCGCCCGCTTGCAGACATGAGAACTGCAGAACGAATGAGTATTATAGAAACAACAAAGTCGAGAAAAAGTTGGGAACTACGCTGCACGCAGTATAACGGAAAATTACAGGCAAGACATCTGAATGAATCGCATATCAAACAGGGGTAGATATTATTTTAGTTGACATTAAACAAATCAAAAGTACTTGGGCCGGCAACAGAAATCGTAGGATAGACAGCCGGTGGCCATTTAGAAATATTGAACTCAGATAAAACCTTCGCTGGGACGAACCTCAAAACCGCAACCACTTCAAGACCAACATAATCTAATAAAAATATACCATGTACCAAAATTAACTTTTTTTTTTCAATGTGGCAAAGCTTAAAGAGGCATGCAATGAATGAAATACGAGATCACAATACGGTTTTATTCACATATCATATCGCATAATACATCTCATGCGTACTTTTTTCCATATTTGACCCTGTCTAACCTTGGTGGGTATCGAGCTTGACAAGAGGGGAAAAAAACGCATCACGCGCGTTG